GTGATGTTATGTGATAAAAAACAGTATTATTTGTTATAGTACCTATGATTGTTTGTATTGCCAATTATTATCTATAACTTGTAGCGACGAATCATTATGATTTTAAATTAATAACAATTTAAATCATTATTGCTTCTTTTAAAAAACACTTATTATTTGTTATAGCATGATTGTTCGCATAACCAATTAACCATAAGTTTTAACGACGAATCATTATAGTTTAATAAAAATGATATTTTTTTCAATTACGGAGTATTTTATTCAATTTATCTATTTATTTCGACTTTCTAGATATATTAGAATGTTTAGACTAGGCCATACCAGTTAATCCTAGAGTATGCGTATTTATATTAGGATCAACTAGTTTGTCCTAGCTTAAACTGGTTTGTCCTATCGGGCTTAGGACAAATTAGTTTGAACTAGGCTATACTAGTTAATCCTAACGCGTATAGGAAGAACTAGTTTAGCCTAGGCAAAACTAGTTTGTCCTGAAATCGGGTTTGGCCGGTAACATATATATGGTTTAATAACATTCGCGGTAAATATTTTATCTAAACTAGAACGGGTTCGGTAGGTAAATTATCCCAATCCCAAACGAAAGGATGAAAAATATTCCTAAATATTTTTTACAATGGTATCCACCATAACTTACAATTGCGGATCTATCAATAGCGGCCATCTCGCGGAGTTAGTAAGTATAGTTGCATTCTCCGTACTCATAGTATCGGTGGGTAGGCCTTCGTTGTTCCACGAAGCTACCATCGCATCATCTGTCAGCATTGACAATGGATCCAAACCCTCAGTCGTATCGATTTTGGGCTAAGGCAACAAAATAAACCATTTAAAGATAATACAATTGTATTTCTGTATTTAAAATTATACTGTAAACCAGTAAAATTATAAAGATTTTCAATCATATTGTAAAATTTGAGCCAGCATCCTGGTCCTTTCTTTTTCAGGGTCATGTGAGGGTCAATTCCCGTTATAAGGGTCAACATAACATTCTCAGATATGTGCCTAGAACTAGAACTAAAATCAAAGTAAAAGTTTACGTTGGTCTTGGCAAGCGTAGGTATCCAGTCGTTGTTGATGAGTAGCATGCGGTAGCGGCGCATGAAGCAGCCCACGTAGGAGATGAAGGCGGTCACCAGTAGAACATCTCCTGGTAGCATGACGCCTGACTCTTTCAAGTCAACTACCGTTGCTGACCATCTGGACAGTTTTCAAGGGTGATACAGAAATTAGTACATTTAATTTAAACTTAAGATAATTTTACTAAATCAAATAAATGATAAAATTATAACTATACTCCTTTTACTTTTAAGTCCAACGAGCGCTGACTACTAACGGAAATGGTTCGATAATAATAATAGTAGTGGATTATCGTCATCAATTTCAAAAGTTACTGACATTTTCTGTAACACATTATATTCACTAAAAGTGACACTTATAATTTACGAACCTAATTTTCTCTGAAGCTAGACCATTCACTAATCTGTTTGCTAGATCAATGGTTGCATTAGTAGCATCGGCTTCAGCCTGACATTTCATTTTCTCATTAACTGCCTCCTGAAAGGCTTTCAGCAGTTCTTCCAGTTTCTCTTCGAGTTCCTGTCGTAAAACAAATCTTAGTCATTTATTTGTTCCAAGGACTTCTGTATTTTTTTTAGCATTGCTTATATTGAATCTATGTCATAGAAATAAACATAAACGACTCCATTTAGCAAACCCAATAGTCAATTTTATTTTAATAGATTTCAACTATAGTATTTTATTAAAAGGTTGAAAATTATGAACTTTATACCTTCTTTGATAGTAGAGTCACGTACTTTTCTAACTATAATAAGATACTTACAGCGATCTGATCAGTAAGGAAGGCGAGTTTGTCTCTTGCCGCTTGCAGCTCAGCATTAGCAGCGTTGAGGGCACGTCTTTTAGGCTCCACCACTACGTACACCTCGTAGAACTTTACGATGTTGATGACCCACGCGCACAGACCGGCCGCAGCCGCTGACTTAGACATTATGAACCCCGGGTTGAATTCTGGATTCTTTATGTATGGTTGTACTGCCTGAGACATCAAGAAATAATGTTTTAAGGGGCGATTTTAAAGACTGCGCGGTCAGCATTAAAATATTTATAGTATAAAACATTACTGAAAAGGTTCTACCTTAACAACGTCGGGATGAATGTTCTCCTTATCGTAGTACACAAGATCATTCAAGAACTGATCTACTTTTGCCATCATTAACTGGAATAAAAGTTCATAATTAAGCACCGTAACAAGTACCTAGATATCCTTTAACGTGAATTAGGTATTGTTTAAAAAATCTTAAATACTATGACATTAAGATTTAAGTTAAATCCTATTAAACTGAAGTTAGTTAACATATGAAATAGACTTACTTTGCATCCCTTCCAAGATCTGTCTTTCGGTAACTTGCCCTTCTTGGCAAAGAGTACGAGTACCGCGGCACACACGTTGACGACGGCTTCAGGCGGTGATCCGAAAGATTTCAATTCCGTTAGATTGTTCTTATTCAGTGTATTCAACGCTTCCTGGGCTGCGATCAGCGCCGGCTCAGCCTTTGCCAAGTCATCCGCGCAAATCTTTGCCTTAATTGTTACATCTTCTTCTATAACTTTTACTTTTTTCTCCTCTTCCGCGGCTGTAGTTGTTATAAAAATCGTGATTTAGTTATTTAATACCTTTTTACTGATAATTTCTTTAATATTTTCAACCTGATGTAAAATGACAGTAGTTGACAAAAATAAATCATTTTGGTAGTTTGATGGTTTGCACGTGTTAATAAATTAGTTTTTACCAACTTAATCTTAAGTGCAAATACATTACCAAATGCTTTTTCTTTGGACACCTTTTCACTCTCAGCGCCGACTACTTCAATGAGCGCTTCGGCGGCTTTGTTTTTCTCTTTTAAAATAATTTCTTGCTCAGCAAGAGTCACCTGCATAGGAACACAAATATGTCATAAAAATGAAGACAACTTTTTTTGAGAATTATACTTAAGAAGCACTGCTGCTGAGAACCCATCATAACCTGGCCCAAAAAACTTATATTGAAAACTTATATTTTAAAATCAGCTATAAGATTTTTTTAACTAGGAAAGTGTTTTATTGTATAGTAATAACTTAATAAGTTACCTTCAACACAGCGACATCTCCAGCACACGACGCCAACTTCTCCAGCCCGTTCTCCAGTCTTATGATCATCATCTTAAGGTTTTTAGTCTTCTCATTAAGAAGTTTGCTGTACAAAGCGATCTGTTCCAAAAAGGTCTTCGGCGTCGTATAGTTATACCGTTTCTCGTTCTGGTAGTATATTTCCGACATTTCGTTTACGCTTTGATGTACGTGTGACATAAAACCCGACACCGGTTCTACTAATTGTTCCTGTAAGAGCAAACCTTTAGGTGTCATTTAAAACACTGGACAACATTTTAACATAAATCTTAGATGTAGAACAGGACGATAAATCATCCATTGTTGCTAAATTCAGACAGCATTTTTGGAAAACGAAAAATGCTTGTTTGAACATGTATATATTTTTAGTACCGGTAAACATTCCACTTCAGCTATGAAACGTTTGGAGACGGACCGCAGCGCTTCTTGCGGCCAAGCGTGGAACCAATCAATCGCAGTACAGTTGACAAGAGAAGGGAACTTGCGCGCGCGCACTCGTAGCGTAGCGCCCACAGGAGAGAAACACAATATCACCTGGTAATAATGGTATACAATGTTATGTTAAAAGTGTGTGTCATAATTATATCATGTATAACTTTAGGAGCGAGACTACTGACCTTGAGCAACGTGCGAACCCGGTTAATGAAGAAAGCCCAACAATTCTCACGGGTGTCAGGCACACCAGTTGCTTTAGTCTAAAATAAAAATATAGGTACAGTACACAAACAATAAGTAGTTAATAACTTAGTATTTATACAGGATTTTTTTTAAGGGGGGTAAATCATAGAATGACTTCTCCCGCCTCGGTGAGGCGAGAGGGAGTGTCAGACTCTTACTGACTAAAAACAACCCCGTTTCTACTCTACGGCGCTTAGAGCCGGAGCCTACCGGGGCTCCTTAGGGCTTTTACGTTCTCTGCGACATATAAATAGAATAGATTATAAGTAAATCATCTGAGTACAAGCGAAGGGCGCGGTTGCCGCCCATGTCGCGTAATAAGTATTAGAAGAATTTAAACTGTTTTGTTACAATTAACATTTTTTATTATTCTTTATCAAAAGCATTACAAGTAAAGTAAGTGAGTTATTCGCTGATTCTCTATTAAAAATATATTATTATTGCCAAAATGAGTACCTATAGAGCGACACACATTACCTACCACAGCACAACCACCATACCTCACATTACCTCAGTCAGAACTCAGAACCAGATTACCATTACCATAGCTCAGTGAAAAACAAACAAATACCTTCGTTTTAGACTTTTAGTTTTAAGAAATAATGAAGAATGACTGCCTCGTTGGCCGAGTGGTCGCAAGTGTGACTGCTGGACAAGGGGTCTGGAGGGGGGTTCGATTCCCGGGTCGGGCAAAGTATTACTGGGTATTTAAAAATCTCAGTAGTAGCACGGAGTCTGGAAATGTGCCCGGTATATGGCAATAGGCTCACCCGCTATTACATGGGACTCATAACATAAATAGTGAAAAAGTGGGTGTTACATTGTACAGTGGCATTAAGAGCCGTAATGTACTCTGCCTACCCCTTCGGGGATAAAAGGCATGATGTTATGTTATGAAATAATGAAGCAATACTACAAAGAAGTAATACAATAAGGTGCGTCTTTCATAACCTCACCTCTCCTCTGACTCCGTTGATAATGTTTTCAACATCTTCATCTGGGAACAACTCTGCTATCTCTCCAGAGGCTAGTAAGTCGTTGATCAGAACCAAGAAGCGCTCGTCAGCGACCTGTCCGTCGGTCATCAGGAAAACATTGCCGATCGCCTTCAAACCAGCTTTCAAGTTCAGACCAGCTGAGACAGAAGTGTTAAAATTTTAATAAGTTAATCATACTCCTGTTGAAATATTTTTACAAACTGGTTTAACTAGATTGTGGTCACTGGAAAAAAAAGATGAATAATCATCACTAGAATAGGGATGATGACAGGGTATGAAAATTAAAAATGTAGTTAGTCCGTCAGTTAAATAATGAAAAAAAAATAGACACGTATTTTGGGGGCTAAAACATCATTTTTACGAATAAAATGTACATACAGAAGTAACGTCACGCGACATTTCAAATCAATATATCTTCGAAACTATTCGTTTCCGTAAAAAGAATAAAAGTACGCGTGTAATGTTTTTAATTAATCTCTAATTAATATCTACCCTATTGTGATCCGTTGGTCTAATTTATTTGTATTATTTGTAAAATTGTGAGATTTTTGCGAGAAACTTTGCGAAAAATTTATATTTCTTTAAAAAGATACTTGATAAAGATTTACAAGCGAAAAATGCATAGCACACAAGATGAGTTATGTCTAAGATTGTATAACAGTGCGTGTCACTAGTCTAAGCACATTTCCTATTACAGTATCACATACTCAAAAGTATGTGTATTTGAAAGTCATTGGTAGAGGCCTATGTTCAGCAGTGAACGTCTTATGGCTGATAATGTGATAATGATACTGGAAACTCACCTAAATCAACTTTAAGGTCATTCATGCTGTATCCTTTACGCAGTTGTATCTGGAACACTTCTAGCGAGGAGATGAATGATGACAGTCGGGAGAGCGACTGTTTGCCCGAACCGCCCACGCCAACCAACAAGGCGTTGCCACGTGGAGCTTCCAGGATACGATTAATCCTTGAAAGATATATACATATACACTTCACGTGACTCCTAATAAGATTCTAATAAAAGGACAATTATTCGGATACAACAATTTGTACCATTTTTTAAAGTCGATGTAATGTGCGTCTAGATATCGAATTTGACATTATTCAAGCAGCTGTACGAGTAGTTTATAAATAAGTTAAACCTAGAAATAAATACAAAAAAGTTATGTTGCCGATATTACCTGCAAATATGGTACATGGCATCTTCAAAGAGCACTAAGTTCATAGTAGCCACAAGATCGTTATAAGCAGAGAGTGACTCATCCAAAAGTTTCTTGATGTGATTCCAGTCCTTGATGGGGAAGTACTTAGGATCTCCTATACCCTCCGCAAAGTGGCAGAAGATCAAGGGTTTCTCCATTATCACATTTTCATCGTAGTCCTGAGACACGCGTTCAAATGTTAAAAGTATAATCAATGAGTGAGTGACCTTTCGCTTTTATATAATTATAGATAGCTGTATGTTTTTGTAAAGTCGTAGTGGTGATGTGCGGTTTCAAAACCTGCCAACGGCAAAAACTAATGTGACTTTATCCGAGGTAGGTACATGACTGTACTTTTTAAAATTATTTAGACACCACAGACAAACTGTGGAGGAAAACATCGTGAGGCAACCTGGGCTTATTTCTAATTAAGTTTTGCATCGCCGACCCGCACTGAGCAAGCGTGGTAATTAACGCTTAAACCTTCTCCGTGCGAGACTACCTTGCCCTTGCCTCTTCTCGCACGAAGAAGGTTCAAGGCCAACTGTAAAGTGGCCACTTTATAAGCTGTTGATGTAATGTGATGTTTTTTAAATAAAAATGTCAGTTTGATAGTTAATTCTATATTTTTATTAATTAATTTTAAACTTACTTCACAATTTTTCTTGATCACCTCGAACATAAGCTTATTGAAAGTATCGTTATCGCTGGCATCGACCAGCTTATCTGAGTACACCCGAGTCGCTTCGTGCATCCACAGTCTAAGAAGTTCAGAAGGTGTCTTGATTGCTTCGCCAGTTGCGAATAATAAGCCCTAAAATATAAAGTGAATATTACACAATTAAGGAAGTAGGTATTTTTTAAACTGTCAAACACCAAGCGGTCACCGGTGACCGCAACCTATTGTTCTATAATTGTGTCTACAAAACCGGTACTCGACGAGTTAAGGGTGTAAAATCATCGAATGACTGCTCTCGCCTGGGTGAGGCGGGAGGGAGTGTCAGACTCTTACTGACCTAAAACCACCCCGTTCCTTCTCCTACGCTTCGAGCCGGAGCCCCGTTAGGTTCTCCGCGACAAGGAAGTAAGTATAAGAATATAGTGTTAGTTAACATTTTCTTAAAACTTATTAAATATTGTTATAAGCAATCTACGTAGGTTATAAATATAAACATGTATGTAGGTGAACAAGAAACACAGATATATTAAAGACAAGAAACAAATAAGTTCCTACCTGGAATATATTGGACAGATCCCTCAGATTGAAGATGTAGTGGAACTTGATGGCCGTAGGTAGGAAAGTAGTGGAAAGCTTAGTATGTAAAGCCAAAGCCACTCCTACTACGACCTCGGTATATCGATACACCACCGGGACGTACTTGTTGGCAGGGTTCATCAAATGCTGGACCAAGATGCTCTTATAGATGTGGAAGCACGCTTCCAACCCGGGAAAACTATTAAGATGAAGTACAACCAGCCAAGTTATTTGGTATATAGGTAAGAAAATAAGATGTATTAGGTACAGAGACTAGCTATTATTACAGTAAGTATACGTTTTTTTATGATATCTTTTATTATCGTCGAGCCGGAGCCCCGGTTACTCGTTAGGTTCTCTGCGACTCCGAATCGGCATCGGCCCTGTTGGGCCCCATCTGTGGTGGCCTGATGGCTCTTTGAGGCGTGCGCGGAACGCGACGCGCCGTACGCTCGGGTCTGTTTCTGGTCGGACGAGGAGCCACTCATGCTCGCCGTCCGCAGGCCCGCGCTTACGGTGGCCGGAGATCGTCCCGCGATCCTCGACGCCCGGTGTGTCCTTCGCGATGGCTGGATTGCGATGAGGCAGCGCTGCGCTGCCTCACGCGTCCTGCCTCCTCCTTAGCTAGCATAACTGCTTTGCAAAAGGAAGAGACGGCATCCCAGTCCCCCTCGCTCCGCTTCATGGCCTGCACTAGGCCCGGACGCGAGAGCTTAATGGTTAACTACCAATTACTGAATCAGTCTTTATTAGCCTACTATAATGATACTAAAAAAAAAATATCATACTATCTACCAAAAATAAAATTTAAAACAATTCTGCCCACATTAATGTCAAATTGAATTACCTCACAGCGAAAGTGCAGAAGTGTCTCTGTAATCTAGGGTCAATAGTGAACGAGCCAGCTGTAGGATTCATGCACGCTACAAACATGCAGTTCGAAATATCCTTCAGCGTCAATTTTTGTCTGTCGTACCTGAAACATTTACAGGTTTTCTCTTAAATCAATACTATGGTTCATTAAAGAATTGACAACAATTGGGGATTTCTAGAATTAAAAAATAATGTAGCAACATGTTACTGCTTCTCTTTTAAAACAAACCTAAAAACTTCAATAAAATAAGCAAGCAGACTTTGTGTTTTTTTTTTTTTTTTATGGCATAAGCCGGTAAACGAGCAGACGGATCACCTGATGGAAAGCAATCGGCGTCGCCCATGGACACCTGGAACACCAGAGGCGTTACAAGTGCGTTACCGGCTATTTGTGGATTAGGGGTTTGAGGATTGTTGGGGATTCAGGGATTGGGGAGATTGGGGAAGGGGAGGGAAATTGGGCCTCCGGTAACCTCACTCACGCGACGAAACACAATGCAAGCGTTGCTTCACGTCGGTTTTCTGTGAGGCCGTGGTATCACTCCGGTCGAGCCGGCCCATTCGTGCCGAAGCATGGCTCTCCCACACTTGACATAAGTTGGTCTTCTTTCCATAGACTTTGAATCGAACCTTTAAGCCTCTTGCAACTAACTATATTTGACGTCACCTATATAATTTAAAATGCTAATTTTTGAGGTATGTGGACCATAGTGGTCTGAAATTAAAAGGTAAAAAATTAATACAATTTGTATATACCAGTGCTTGTAATCCATGAATTGTCGGATCAACGTGTGTGGCTGCACAGTCCCGTACTTGTCTACCTCGGGCATGTTCATGTCATCCACGAAATATATCATAAACTTGCTGCCAGGCGGTCCAAAGTTACGACCAGACTTCTTTTCCAAAGGTTTTTCTAATACTCTCTGAATCATTTCTATAACGGTATTCTATTATTAAAAGAGGGTAACTGTACCTCTAAATATAGCTATCGTATTCTCAGGAAGATTTAACATTTTCTTCTTAAAATAAAAGAAATGTATAAAATCTCAACGAAGGACCAAACGGGCAGACTGATTTACACGATGGTAAGCAATCAACAAGTGCGGTCACACAGCGAACCATAACGTAAGTTGCTTATGATAGCTGGTTAAATGTGTATTTCTTTGAGAATTTTTTAAACTTTACCTGATGTGGTATAGAAGTTGAGTGGCACATTAATGATAGCATACGAGTCTGGTAGGGCGGCCAGTTTAGCCGCTACGCTCACAGACTTGCCACTACCAGCGCTGCCCACTAACATCACTGGTTTCTGCTTCTGAATCAGCAGGTCCATGAAGAACCTCGTACGAGTCGTCTCGTTAGTCGCTACCAACGTTGACTAAAACATCAATCATTTTTGCGAATTAGTATTTATTCCGATATTGTATTTTAAGTATCAACTTTTTGTATTGCATTTAAAAATATGATTAGAACCTGAAGAGGAATATCGGGATCCAATTCGAAGTTCTCGACTTTTTCAGACCATGGTAAAAACTTCTTAGTGTCTGGATCAATGAAGAAACTGAACACGTTGCCCGTGGACGGGAACTTAATCTGCTTGAATTCATTACAGAACCATTTGCTGAATTCATTACGCCAGTCAACTATTTGATCTTGGAAAAGGGCCGAACCGAAGCCCCAAACAACGGCAAAGACGAAGTAAATTTCGTACCTTAAAATAACAACGAAAGCTTGACACAACTACTACTCCATATTAGGTAACATTTATTATATATACTTTTTAAACCTCATTTAAAAGGTTTTAGTAAGGCAAGCATCCTCACCATTCCTTAGGACAATCACTGGGTAGCAAAGTCTTATTCAAGAAACACTCAAGCAAATAACAGCTGAGCTGTATTTGTTGTAGCTCTGTAAGCGGTGTAATTTTCTTGTACTTCTTGCAGGATTCCAGCAGTGATGGTATGTACTTGTCAAACATCACTGTTAGCATCGCCTTCTCAGATTCATCATCTCTCGCTGTGTCTATCCAAGATGCGACAAATCTACGGTTTAAGTGTAATGTCAGTAAAATAAGGAAGTAATAAAAACACGTATGTAAATATTTTCTAAAATTATAACACAATCCAATCCAATTAGGTATAAAATAAAAAAATATCGGTAATTTTCCCTCTTTCGTGTTTGGTTGGAGCAACTGATGAACATACATAGGTTGAACGATCGTTTTTACTTACAATACAAAATTGAGCAAAATAATATTTAAATGAGTCTTAAACAACATATTAACAAACTAAAAGATAACATCTTCAAAAGCAACCGTGACACTTACGGATTCCATCCTAAGTCCTGGGGATTGATGTAAAGAATACCAGCTCGTGATACCGTCGCTGGTGTAGCTGTCCTCAACGTGGCAATTTCAAACAAAAGCCGCATTGATTTAGTCAAAGCAATTCGTTCGTTACTGGCGAGCGTTAACACCTAAAACAACAAAAAATTAAAACACAAAATAAATTTACTTATAATGTTGACTAACTATATTTTAAACAGAAATCTGTTGCTTACTTTATTGTCATCCATCAGAGTATTCAAGCTTTCAATCCACATCGGATCAATGTCTCCATCAAGAACGATCCACTTCGGTCCATCTCCAGGCATATTAGCCATGTCACGCATTATGGTGGAGAATAAACCATCTTTCCACTCTCGAGTGGCCGGGTTAATGATGCCGAAGAGTTCGTCGTTAGTCACGGCTTTAGGATCAAGATCATTGTAAAACGGTTTTTGCTTCAACATGTAATAAGTCCTATTCAGACACTGCCAAACCATTGATTTACCAGTTCCCGCAAAGCCAACAATGAAGACCGAGTGTCTTACAGCGAACAGTTCTACTAGTTGCACCATCTTAAATAGAAATTAGTAATACTTAGTCCTGTAACGAAATCGTAGTCAGCATCTGTCTCATCTCAAGCTACCTAAGTTACATAAGTTTATTTTTAATCAACGCAAGTATGACATGGAAGATGCTGATTTTATCTTACCTTCAAAATAAACCCTGGCTCCGGTTGAAGCTTCATGGATATAGCACCGTCAATCAAATGTTTCTCAAAATCCATGTCACGTTTTCTAGGCACGTCGAGGGCGGGGAACAGATCCCCAATCAGCCCCATAAACACAGGCATGTCGTCAGTTACGATTTTAGGGATGTTGAAATCTCTCAGAGCTCTCATCAACACTTGGTCTTCTGGTCTTAGGCGGTCACCGCGCTAAAAAGTTTATTCAATTCATTTAATATGTTAAATATACATATTAAATAACATTCTGAATTTATTTTTAGTCAAATAAAAACAATGAATTCTTCAGAAAGAAAACACTTGCGCTAGGATACCTAGGTAAAGATTCGATGTAGCTGAGGTCTCGCATCGTGACTTATTCTAACTACTTCTATCTATCTTCTTTCCCAAAACTTTTGATCTCTCTCAAAAATCAGATTTGTGGATGTCAAAAAAGAACTATGTTATGATACCTTTAAAGAGCCAGCCACTACCAACACTGATTTAATAGCCCTCAAACCCCAATCGTAGTGATCTTGTTTGGAGAGCAGTTCACGACACAGAGTATATAACGTGATGAATTTGCGTGCTAGTAGACGAGCATCCTGGAACCCTTCGGCCACCAACATGATCTCACAAATCAGCTCGAAGTCGGGTACCACCATGGCACATGGTCTGCGTGATAATTTTAATAAAACTTTTTTTTAAGAAATTTCATTCTCCATTATTCAAAAATGTCTAAACATATAATCTCTTATATATCTTATCCTATATATTTCTTAATTATTACTTACCTGAACAGTGCCTTCAAATTCTCGGGTAGCTCAGTTCTTCCCGCGTAACCGGGATTCATGGTGATGAACATACCAACAGTGGCTATGAGTGTAATATGTTCTCCCATGAAATCGAATTTCTTTTTCTTAGCTTTGATAGCATCCAACACTGTCTTCACTTGGACCGACACCACGGAGAGCACCTCCACTGAGATCCGGTTGAACTCATCGAAACATCCCCATGCGCCAGTTTGACATAAACCTTTAGTAGACGAAAATATGAAAAAATAATGTAATCTTTTTCGTAAAAAATTATAGAAACCAAACTATTAAACTGAAACAAAATGAAAAACCAATTGCTAATGTCTAACCACAATTCATTAAATTAATAAAAACCTTTATAAATATTGCCACAAGATTTGTAATCCATTTGTTCGGAGCAGTTGAATACATAGACCATAATGCCCAGAGCTCTACCCAAATCTTTCGTGGTTTCTGTCTTCCCAGTACCCGCGGGCCCAGCAGGAGCGCTGCCCATTACCAGATGCAAACTCTATGATGATAAACAAAAATAAATTGAAAATCATTTTGAACATTCGTTAATAGAAACCTCTTTTGAAATTAATTTATGAATCAAAGAAAATAGTGGTGGTAGTAGATTAATAGCTACACCAGAAAAAAATATTACTGAAAAAATATTAGTTAACGTCAGTTATCAGTCAGTATATTCAAAAGCAAAATGCAGCAAGCGTGGATATAGAGGTAAATGCTGGTGCTTTGTACTTTCTCCGACGCTGTTTCTCCTGTACTATATATCTGAGATTTGCTGTCTATTGATGGTATTCATTGCTATACGGATGATAGCAGCGCTGACGCGTATTATACGGGCGTGCAAACATTCCTTGTTACGTTGTGGAAGAAAGTTGCGTACAATTTGTCTCCGATTGGGGTCGGACCCACATGGTCCAGTTCAACACCTCGAAGACAAGTTTGTGCCTTCACCGAAAAAAAAAACCATTATTTGTGGCTCCTCAATTCCAAAACATAATCCTTTTTTTTAAGGGGGAAAATCATCGAATGACTGCTCCCGCCTGGGTGAGGCGGGAGGGAGTGTCAGACTCTTACTGACTAAAAACCACCCCGTTCCTTCTCTTGCACGTCGAGCCGAAGCCCCGGTTACCCGTTAGGTTCTCCGCGACTCCGAATCGGCATCGGCCCTACTGGGCCCCATCTGTGGTGGTCTGATGGCTCTTTGAGGCGCGCGCGGAACGTGACGCGCCGTACGCTCGGGTCTGTTTTTGGTCGGACGGGGAGCCATCCATGCTCGCCGTCCGCAGGCCCGCGCTTACGGTGGCCGGAGATCGTCTCGCGATCCCCAACGCCCGGTGTGTCCTTAGCGATGGCTGGGTTGCGAGGAGGCAGCGCTACGCTGCCTCATGCGTCCCGCCTCTTCCTTAGCTGTAGCGCACCACGACAAGGCGCATGTAGCGCACCACGTATTGCAAGCGTTTATAGGCCACAATAAACACTTACCATGCGGTGGGCGGTGTGCTCTTTTTTGTCACCGTTGTGGTATAAAAAAATGGTCTTAGACACTACAGGCATAATTATGAAATTATAAAATAAAAGGTTCAAATCCTAAAAATGTCTAAACAACTCTTAAATCCGACTAAATAAAGAATTAAATTGTTATATTATATAGATAGGCTGTTTTATTTTACCTGTGTTAAAGTGATGTAGCAGCGATCAGTTAGAGGCGTGATTACAAGCCTAGGCGTGTTCCCAAGGTACTCATAATCATACATAAACTGTGCATCACAAATATTCGCAAAGCAATGCCCAATGGAATAATCCCAACGATGTCTGAAATAGGTGACATTAAAATGTGAAGCGGTGTTTAGGATTGCAGTTACAAATTGTTACTCAAAAACCATATATTAACAATGCATGACTCCCTAAATAAACTATTACAATTATTTTATTATTTTACGTGTAGTTTCTCGAACTACATAAGTCGCACATTATTATTAATATCGCAACTAGATTTATAAATATTTCGTGCAATCATTGTCAATCAATCACCATCAATCAATGCACTATAACACCTAATATACGCATAATATACTTAAAGCATTAGTTAAAGTACCTCAACTGGCTCTGCCACTGAAAGGCAGTAGATGACTCCACCTTCGCCACAATAAGTTTAGCGACCACATCTCGAGAGTGTACGTCAATCGTACAGATCGTCATAATCTTTTGTCGATCCCCCACTGTCAAGTCACCAAGTAGCAACACAATCAAAGCATTTAGTTGTGCGATTTGTTTCTTCTGATAATCTTTTAGCGCATTCTCATAGCCTGAAAATTCCATAATGTCTCATTTCAAGAAGGAGCAGAAAAGAGATCATTTAGGTTCTATACATTTATGGGGCTTCTCTGAAAGCGCCAATGAAAAAAAAATGGTATGTATCGTTAGAAGGCCCAAAACTAATGATCTTCCGTTATAGAATACCATACGTTTCCTAAAATAATTCAAGCAACTATTTGAAAGCTGTTATAAATTAGATACAGAAGGAAAGCTCCACCATGTACCTTCTTCGAGTTTCTCAAAAGCCTGGTTAGTCTCCGAGGTCCACCAGATCTGAGTGCCGACGAGCGCAGGTTGTGCGGGCCAGTCGAACACCCACTCGTCTCGAGGTTTCTCTTCATACGACTTCACACTGTGCGCCAAAATGTCACGCAGAGTCATACGCATGCAGTCAGTTACTCTGTTAAGCCATGTTTCCACCTAAAAGGTTGTGACTCTTTAAACTTTGCTGTACTTTAGATGTCGCTACAAAAATTGCCTTGGTCTATAAGTGCCAAATGCAAAGATAAACTAATACTGATTGACTTCTCTAAATAGATTCTAACCAAAATGTTATAAGTAGGTACCTTTCCACTACAATCACAGCAGGGTGCTTTGAATGGCACATGTTCCTCGTTCTCCTTGGATATTATCTCGATGGCTTGCTTGCTGGCCGGGCTAGGGAATACAAGCATCGCCAGATTGTCGTATAACTTCGGCAAGTGCCGACACACCGCCGGGGGATTATTGCCGTTCGACAAAATATCTGATTACCAAGATAAATGTTATAATTATCAGGTAAATTCTTAAATTAAGATCTTCTACCTCTATTTATAAAATGTGATATTCCGACAAGACTTTTTATTCAACTAGATCATACTTACCAAGCAAATCTGCAGATGACACGAAGTAAAAGCGAGGATAAGCCAATCGCTTCGTCTCCAGATAATTGTTGAGTGCCTTCTCGCACTTATTCAAGTGCTCCATCAATTCCTCGAGATTTTCTTGCAGATTCGGTTTGTTCGTTGCCTCTATTACATTAGGTGTAGTAGCTATATCTTTCAACATTTCCTACAATAAAACCATTATGACAACATTATTTTTTCTAAAAATGCAAAACAAAACTCCCTTAATTGACAAGTGTATGTTTAGAGTTAGATGAATGGAGACAAATCAAAATACGTTTGCCAGAAACGCGTCATGTCTTCACTGCACTGCCTCAGATCTATATATTGATATAGAAGACAAGTCTAGAAATATATTCTTACGTATGTACAAATTGGAAACACACTCACCTTGAACGATTTATCAATAGTATCAAACCTCGCCGAGTCCTCAGGTAATTGTGATCGAATATCGTCGGAACCTACGAAAATGCTCTCCAAGTACTGCCATTTACGTTGTACTTCGAACCATAAAGCTATCACAGCGTCAGCAGTGCCCAGTTTCTTCTGCCATTCAGTAACCTCCATTTCAAAGAAACCGACAAACTTGGAGGACATCATGTTTTGTACTTGATTCTATAAGACAAGGAAACGCTTTTATATTTCTAATCTCCAAAAACTTTCTTGATGATAAAGGGTAAGTAAATAATAAACACTGTTAATATTATATGGTGAAAAACCTATGCTTTCCATTCCTATTGTGGTATCGAGGAGGTCGCCATAGGTTAAGCACAGAGGCCCCGGCTCGGAGTTAGAACAGGGTGGCTTTCAGACAGTAAATTCTGACAAGCCTCACCATCAGCGGGAACAGTCATTTGATAATATATTTAAAAGCAAATAAGCTACAATTAACTAGCCATATCTCGATAATATACTAAATGCTACATTTCATGGTCACCTGGTTGTCTTCCAGTGTCTCTACAAGCTCCTCACTAGCTCTAGGCAATTTGACTCCAGTTCTGTCATGTTTAGTGTATTCGAATTCCATAACAGCCCAAGTAGTCTCCAATTCCCTAGACGATATAAAACGATAAGTGAGCCAAACGAAGAAAGAATATTAAGGAGTTAATATTTTTAATATATTTCTCAGTTTATGTATGTATAAAATATTGATTAAATGGAGATACAAGAAAAACAAACTTTATGATTGCAATAATGTCACTAGGCTGACTGTACGATTGACACGGTGACTGTATCGCAAGATATCGCAGTTATTGTAGTCAACAAAAAGGCGATAAACAAGAAAATAGAGTAGACTAAGCATTAGTTTTTTTTAATTCTATCCCACTTGACATACTTGAGAGTTTTCTCCATAGCAGCTTCTTTGACAGATTTATCGACGATAGTTTTCACCTCTTCTTCATATTTGTGTAGATTTAGAGCGAGCAAGTCTGCCAGTGTCGTGTCGTCATCGATTTGGAACTTAACCTATAGAAATTTAAGAAAATTGGAAAATGATTTTCATAAATAAAACGCATAAGTTTACGTAACCTAAATATACGTTTAATTTATCGAAGCAATACGAAGAATAAAGTAGTTTGTCGTTAACTGCCTGTAATTTATTATGTTGTAGTTATGGGTCAAAGTAAGAGGTAGAGTTAATTAAAATGATATGAAAATAGGCTTACCTTATAACAATTAATTATTTTACACTTACACTAATAATAAATTATCTAATTTCTACATTATGAACTCTGACAATATTACAGGATGCTGTGTTTTTAACTGCGGCGTATATCCCAAAGACTTCAGTTCGAAGCCTTGTTGCTTCATTTCTTTCAAAGAATATGATTTATTAAACTTAAATGTGCTTATTCTATTTGCTTCTTGCAGCTTCGGTCTTCTGTAGTCTTGTAATTGTAAATATTTGTCGTAATCCACTTTCATTATATTATTACTGTTTACTTTATTACTTTCTATGGCTACATCTTCTAATGATTCAAATTCTTTCATAATATCATCTAATGATTTACTTAACGTTCTATTAATGGATGGTGTTTCTACATATGAATGCCTGGTTTTGATGGTCATGACATGCGAATGCACCACTTTCTAGATGAAATGAAGAAATAATTTAAAAATGTATGTACAAAATGTGCAATTATTGTTTATTTTTGGAGTTTTTCTTACCTTGGTTGCCATCATGAGTTCTAACCAATGCCTGTCCTTAATAGCAGGGTTCTGTAGGTCAGTGACGGCTCTCAAAGATGTCATCAAGTTCTTAATTGTTGATTCTGTTACGCCGTACGGCTCCCTATCACAAGATCCCTTGATTAGTTGTAAAAAAAACGTAATGACTCAGTAAGTTTAGATATAGATTTCAAACATTATTTCTTTGTTTTTATAATAATAACTATCGCGAGACATATTAAATTAACTAAAAATCACAGGCTACTCACGTGAATATTCTGAGAAAAGCTCTACTAGTTTTGAACAGAGGGGTTCTTTCTCATGAGCAAGGTGCGCGGTCGCGGCGATATAGAGTACGCTGAGCGACATCGAGTAACCCGCGATTTTTAGTTAATTATTTCACTTTACTTTAATGTTGAAAAAACACATGATAAAAGTTAGTAGGTGGGTACTTAAATTGAAAAATATTCAGTGCCTTGATTTAGTCACATTATTATTGCTACATTACACTAATCCTTACTAATACTATAAATGTGAAAGTGTTTTTATCTTTCTTTCATATCCACCATGCGGGCGAAGCTGCAGGAGGAAAGGTAGCGTCTATTTATAACTATCTCACCATGATCTCATATCCTTGTCAAGCTGTCGGAGATCCTTTGTAAATCGTTTACACTCCTGATCCATGCCGTCAGCATCAATCTTCTTCCATGGTGACTTCTTCCAGAATTCAATGGATCCCATCACCAAGTAATAGTAATCCCATAATTGCTGTTAGCAGAACAAATATTTACAATTACAACTTTCATAAAAACAGGTGTGTACTGTGTTGAATAATATGTACCTAGTACTATTTAATGTGTTATTGTATATTACATGCCAATAATATAAATTTAAAAAAAATCGGGTTACTGCAAAGCTAAAAACTGCAATGCCAAAGAAATATGAATCCCACCTTGATAAGTTTAAGTTCGCGTCTGCATTGCTTGAGATTCTTCTCGTCAGGAGGTTGGATATCAAACAAACCACAGGACTTCTTTAGCCCCTCTAATATTTCTTCAAATCCTACAAGCTCCTGGTTGACTTTATCAATACTTCTATACGGTTCCTTACATGATTCGAGGAACATCTAAAACAAAGTTATTTTATTTATCTAATTTCAAAACAAAAGAAAATTGCAAGTAATGGCTTAAAAAATGGACGGAAAGTATTGTTTGTTGATTTTATGTTTTTTACACAATATGAAACAGTACTACAATAAGTTTTTAAAATGCTCATTAAATTGTACTCACAGCTAAGTCGTTACTATGAGTTCACGTAACGATAATAACGGTCAAAGTCTCCAGTACCCCGCTACAAAGTACTAGGCGACCATCAGTTTGTGAGAGATCACATTTAAAGTACTTCAAAACACACAGAGCTTTACAGACAAAGCTCTAGGTGAGTGTGTGTCGTTCTGTGTATGAAAGAAGCAGGTCGAACTGTCGACGTTGGCGTAAACCTACACAGGCATGCGCCAACCGTCACATACACACGGTTAGTCTTAGATTAAGTGTGTGTGTAATAAATATTTTACTAACAAATTTTCATGTTTCAATAACACATAACTGTATTCCGTGTTATTAAAACGTGGAAATTGACCTTGTTATTCGAAAATCAAAATAAAATTACATTATCAATTTTACATATTGACAGTACAGAACAATATTATCATAATTACAAGTATATACTTTAGTAATTATTATAGAATCCGTTACAATTTGAATAAATTAATTACTTTGTTAATTTCCTCGTAGCAGCTACGAAATTCATATTCGTAGCAGACTCCGTAGCACCGTAGCAACCAACAGAGCGTTGCCCTTGGAAACGCGTAGCATAATATTTCAGTGATTCGGTCAAGTTTACCAGGGTCGCAAAAATTTAAAGAGCTCTTACATTCGCTGGTTGCCACGTGTAAGGAGAGTCATTGGCGTGATCCCACTTTCGTCATAAATTTGTACCAATAACTCATCTCTGCTGCTCAGTGATGTCATGAAATGACGCAACAATTGCGGAAGTATTCAACATTTTGGTACAAAGTACTAGGAGTCCATACACGACCAAGAATGTGCAGATTCATCTCGCAACGGTTGCGGGGGCGGGTAGTTCCCGCCCCTGCCACACACACAAACCCACCCACCCTTTGAACGAGTCAATTGTGAGCATGAGACATTCGATGTGTGTATTGCTATTTCATTTGTATATTGTTCGGGAGGAGTGATAAAACTTTATTCTTGTTATTGAACAAAATATGATATGAATAAACTTTGTATAATAAAAATACTTAAAAATTATGAAATGTTTAGTTAATATTTTTGCCAACAGCACTAAATCATTTTCCAAAACAAAAACAGTCAAACCGTAGTAATATCGAGCTACGAAAGTCGTAGCATCGACGTGCGACGAAGACGGGAATCGTAGCGACGACGCAGTGACGTTTACGGTGACGTAATTGTTCGAAAACCGTCGCAACAGCGAGCGAATGTACTAGGACAACATGAACAGAAGGGAGATGCTTTATAGAGAACTTTAGCACTTTGTATGATTCGATCCGTAGCTTTGAACTCGTAACTTCAGATTGTGTGACGTGGAACATGACGTCGTAGCGACGACGTTTCAGGAATTTGTGCGAAGTTACTAGGACAGAATAATATGATAAGAGGTATTTCTACGCGAGGTGAAGAAGGCTTTTATTTTGTAGTTACGGTTACGACTTGGGAGCAAATAGAGTTGATATATTTTCGTTTGATACATATTGCAGCTTACGCTGGAACTTATAATTCTTATCGATGTACTAGTTGTTGCGTACGTATGGGCTCGGAAGAAAACAAAACATTCCGAAACTTTTCCTAACAAACCCCTTCACAACAACGACAGTATATTCATACATACTAATTACCTTCTAGATATACTTAAACACTACATAATACAGAGATTAATGAACATAGTTACCTCTTTAGTCTTAAACTGTTCCCTGTACATGTTAAGCCGTAGGTTGATGAGTGCCACTCGCTTGGCAATGAGTGCGGCCTGAGCAGCTTGCAGCGGTGCCACCGTGTTCTTCATTACCGTCGCTTGCTTCACCAAGTTACGCCATTTCTCAGGCAACACATCCAGCTAATGGGAAATAGAATATTGTGAATTTGTGGGTAAGTATTTAAGTACCTATGTAAATTTCGTGTCTGTTACCACATACATTGTTACAAGGGAAAATAACTGAAAGAAAAATAAACGCTACAAACATTTTGAAAATAGTGTCGCTAAACATAAAATTGAAGCATGGTTGACTATTACAATTTTTAACATTGTTTGTTTAATCGGGTTAGTGATAACAAAAAATCCATAATTTCATTACTTAGGTATAGCAATTTTTTTAAATAAAATTTATAATAAAAGCTTAGGTTATAAGCATAGTGCATTTAATTATCATTCTATATTGTATTGCTTACCAGCGTGTATACAGAATACTTATGTTTCGTCTCGCCCTGACGTCCAGAAAGCATTAACATAAGAACATACGCATATACCGAGAATAACAGACCGTCTTAGATAGAACTATTAAACATATTTTTGTAATTTATAGAAATTAGTATTTTTATGTTTACATTCAGACCAGTCAGAATGCATGGTGCAAACTTGTAACTGATTTCTTTTTGGTCTTAAAAGCCTATCATGAATACATAAGAAATCAATAAAATAAACGATAAACTTATTCGATAAACATACCTGTTCATAAGTTTCCTCGGGGAACTCAACACCGTATTCTTTAAGCACATCTATGATATCTCTGAGTGGTTCAAACATGTGGTCAGTGTCGGCGTCCATCTTGGCTCGAACCTCGTTCAGCACTCCCATCACTTTGAGTAAGCCATCGTAATCATCTTCTGCTAGTTCAACTGATAACGCTTTAGTTGCATATGCTATGAACTCTTCAAGGTCATCCAAACTAAATATAAATTCATTACACGTCAGTACAAATTATGACAGAAACTAAAATAGACATGCATAATGTACGATCTATCAATCCTAAATAAATGCTAAAGCTTATGAGGATGAGTTGTAGATAAAATTGAAATGACATTACATAAGCATACATATTTTTAAGTGTGGCAGAGCCATGCTTCGGCATGAATGGGCCGGCTCGACCGGAGTGGTACCACGGCCTCACAAAAAACCGACGTGAAGCAACGCTTGCGTTGTGTTTCGTCGTGTCAGTGAGGTTACCAGAGGCCCAATTGCCCTCCCCTTCCCCAATCTCCTCAATTCCTGAATCCCCAACGATCCTCAAACTCCTTATCCCCAAAAGGCCGGTAACGCACTTGTAACGCCTCTAGCGTTCCAGGTGTCCATGGGCGACACCGATTGCTTACCATCAGGTGATCCATCTGCTCGTGTACCGGCTTGTGCCATAAAAAAAAAATATCTAAGTAATATGATTATAAATATATTTCAATTGCATAATATACTACTATAAAAAAATGAATTACCTCTTATGCACATGGTCTTTCAAATTCTCCTTGAAAAGGTTACTCCATTTGCATATAATGTTCATGATAGCTTGGTTCAGCCGTTTGAGATCCAACCTTAGCCAACCGTTGCATAGATACTCGGAAGGTAGAGCCGCCACCTCATCGTACATCGCGTTGTACTTGTCTATCTACAATTGTTTCTTTCAGTCAATTTTGTATTTTCATACAAAACTGATGGGAACTGAACCTCTCTTAAATTTTAAGAAAGCCCTAAGCTAATGTAGGTGATATTAAAGGACATTTTAGTTATCACTAACCCATGAAAAAGTGAGTTCAGGTGTTACGTCACGCTAAGTAATTTCTAAGTAAGAAATAATTAAGGGGTGGTTGTTAGAAACGATCATTATAGTAAGAACACAAAGCTTAAGTGTCCTTTAACACCTTGAGTGCACCAATACGCGTTTTAGACACACGAAGGTTAAATTTCATTTGCAAGACGACACAATTAAATGCTACGTAATTCATTACGACTACATAATACTATTGACAAATTCTAAACAGTAAAAATCTTCGATCAACAATAGCAACTAGATATCGGGTCAGCGCAAGAAAATCGTCTCGACAAATAAGAGCTCACTTGAGAAGTGAGCTCTTATTTTGTTTAGTATGCTCCAAACATGGCCAACGTACTCACGTCTCACGTCTCACGATGCTGCGTGCGTAATTGCAAGTTGCAAAAATAATAACCGAAAAAGCAGTATAACGGCCGGAATGTCTTACTTACGATATCTACATAAAGTATAAGTTGTATTTTAAGTTTTTAAACTAGTAAATAATATCAAATTATACAAAATTACCAATTATAAACCAACGCCACCAATGTTTGTGCGTATGTTGGCGTTACCCTTGGCCAAGCATCGCCAACACGTGCACAAACTTTTATTTAACCGGAACAGTGGATGCATGGAGTCGATTTGTATTGTAAAATAAAATTGTATTGTAACCTGATTGGAAAAGAGTACCTAACCTATGGAGTTTTCTGCTCGTTCTTCTCCATAGGAATCTACATCTTGGAATGAGCAAATAGTTTACTATTAAATTTATATTATTGACGTTCAAAAGTGCCTTCCTGGTCTAACTGAAATAAATGATTTTGACTCAGACTTAAACTTTTAATAATAAAGTATATAAACATAATATCATACAAAAACGTACCGCTAATAAAAATAATTGATGTATACTAAGATCACGAAATCTTAATTTTCATATTATAAAATTATTTAAGTGTTGAACGCGACTCCATACATACCTCCTGTAGCGAAATTCGAAATTCGAAAAAGCAAAACGTAACAAAACAAAACGATATAGATCGCAAGGCAATAACAGAAAAAAATTCTTTATTTGTTGTATCTTAAGGTTGAATTCATACTAGATATTGTGTAACTTATGTCTTTTAATTTCTACATGACAGGAGTAAGAAAATGCTTTTCTCGGCTTATATGACGAATGGTCGTAAGTATTAGATAATATTTTGACGATTTATGACTTTATTATTAGGTGCCATGGTTGTTATTAGGTTGAACTTAAAACTAAATTAAAACATTTTACTCAGTTTGTTATATTTTTACTATTATTATTCACACGGACAGAACTGGAGCTTGATTTTGTACGTAACCCTTTATCTAGTTGCTATTGTTGATCGAAGGTAAAAATACTAAAACAATTTGATCACTTGAAAGGTCGAATTACGAGCACACGCTCCTAATAATGTGTTACATTGTGCAGTGGCAGTAACTACCGTAATGTGCACCTCTGCCTACCCCTTCAAGGATAAAAGGTGTAATATTATGTTACGTCCTGATAATGCGAGTATTTTATATAAATAAGTAAATAGATTATGTTTTAAGTTAAGTCTTACCTCTGCCTGATATTGTTCTAAAGTAGGTTTCGCTTCTGGAGGATCGCATTGGTTCTCAAATCTATACTTATCAAATTCTTCTGGTGGTATGAATCTGCCGTACTTTAAGAACGCATGCAGAACTTCTTGTCTGTCTTCTGTCCACAGAGGCGTGTACTTCTCATATTTCTTGAGAATAACGGGAACGAATGGTTACTTGCAAGTTGTAAACGATTAACTAACAGAATTTACGAATCACAAAAGATTTTTTGCAGAATTTTAAAGTTTAAATACAACACATACTTTTCTCTAATTAGGTATGTTACGTGGAATGCGCAATTTCGAAAAGGTACTACCACTTAAATAGTCGTTTATTTTTTAAATGACTTAAGTTATATTATATAAATAAATACTAATTGTTCAACTGTAAGTAGCGTTAAATGAAATATTACATACCGACGAGTACTGGGCGATGTCGTTAATGCTATTTTCAATTCTTTTCAACATTTCGTGGTATAAATCAATCATAGCATCTTCGCCAATTAAATCATCTACAAAAACGGGTAGGAAATCTTCATTATATAATTATATAAACTAATTTGACTAACAGAACACAAAAAGTTTTTTTAAAATAAATGTAGCTTAAACTTTATCACAACTGGTCACAAATAGGAGTCAATGGAGACAATTTACAGAGAGGTGATATTTGTTTTTTTTTACTTGGTGATGCCAGTGCGCTCACAATCCTCAGCCATGACTATAAGGGAACGACCAGAGAGAGAAACTTTATCTGAAGCGTTTAAAATCCTAGACTAGTGAATAAAAACGAGCAACACCACTCATATTCATCAACATCATCACTAGTCACTGCTAAAACAAATTTCATTGTCCATTATTTCACAATGTCGAAAGATAGCTTTCATCCATCAATCAATTGCAACCCATAATCTTCGCATCTTTCAATCCATGGCAGCTATATAAATAAACAGTTTCTTACTTTAAAAAAAATTGTAAAGACGTACCTTCATAGGAAGCTATGGGTATAATCGGGTCTATTCTAGGAAACAGTGTGGTCTGTAAGAACATATCCTTCATCATTTCCATCAGAGTATAGAAAAGACCGTCTTCTTCCATCACATCCAGAGACGGAGAGAAATAAATATCTGAAATAATATGTATCATAACATAATATCATGGGATTTCCCAAAAGATAGAGATACCGAATATGTAAAAAAAAATCATAACTTAACATTAAATCATAATTCACATAGAAGAACACGTGTTTAAAATCTAACACCAAAACCAATAAACAGTCCGTTGTTCTGGAGTTACTGAACCTCTTATAAAATCCTCGTCCCCAACCATAAATAAAGGTCGAAATTCTTTACTCGGGTAATTGCGTTTGCGAGCACCAACCACTACTAACATGATACATCATATACGTCTCAAAAACATATTTACGTAACATACCTGGATCTCTAAGCTCAGCGATCACTTCCATAAACGCCACCCTCGGACCCTTTTCCAAGTCAGTCTGTTTCTCAAACAAGTTCAAACTAGTCTGCACAGCTTTCATTATTTGACGAGAAACCTTCAAGTGAAACATACGCGTTATATTGTTTAGTAATTTTCAAACAATAATTATTATTCTAGCAGTAGCAAACAACGATGTACGGTAAAATGGGGTGAATAGGGTTTGAGCGGCGAAAAGGTATAGAAGAGTGAATCGATACTATGAACCTTATATCACCCCTCTTCTGTCCCTATTCACCTCTCGATCCCTATTCACCCCATTTTACGTAAGGTTTTTCGTTCGTTGTCCTCATGACGTCATCAATATTTATTTTGTCTCTTTCGAATAGAAGAGAATTAATATTCATAAAAAGTAAGAAAATTACAAGTGAGTCCACGTATTTCACATAGGCCGGCCAACGAGATGCTCTGAATGCCTCTTCCTCCATTTCACGTCTTTCTTCTTCAATATCAGCTAGTTCTTCGGGATCTAACTCTTCCACTTCCTCGGCTGGCGAATCCACCTCCTCGCCTAAACCAAACAAATTTACATTGGTAATGTGCATTACAAAACTTGTAAATCCCAGTCGGCACTTATGACAGTCGAGGGAAGAGTCATAGTATTCTATGCTATCGTCACAAATTGGCTTAGAAAAAAAACATGGGTACTGCAAAGCAAACTTCTAAGACAAATTGTATTTTAATCAAAATCGTGTAGTACGTACCTTCCGCTCGTCGAGCCTGTCTCTCAGCCTTTTCAAATTCTTTAATTTCTCTCTTCAACCGACGAGCCTCTCGTCTTTCAAACTTAATCTGATCTTTTATTGCCTTCTCTCGGTCCCTTTCCTCTTTAGCTAAACGTGCTTCCTCACGCCTTGCTTCAATTTCTTGAAGTTTTTTAGCCCTTGCTTCTCTTTCGTCATCATCTAACGTAGATTCGTCTACTTCTTCCAATGTCTCTTCCTCCAATTGATCCTATGGTACAATAAAGGCATAGTTGTCTTTACAGATTTTTTATATGTCCTATCAACCTAAATATGTCCCAACCGATAAGGAGTTATTAAGGGATAGGCAAACTTCGATAACCTTGCTACAATCCCCAACCCGCTTGCCAAGGCAAGGGGCTTCGCAAGGTTTCCATATATGGATAATGAGGAATAACGGAAACACGGTTCACTCCGGTTGACTGACATTTAATAAAATAATTCACTTGTTTTATAAATATTATTGTTAAATGTATGTTACCTCTTCAGACTCATCCTTTATATTGAAGAACAGCTTATAATTATCTTTCAATATTTCTTGGAACTCTTTATGGCTTGCCAGGATATCGTTTCTCCTGTAAACAAATTATCTATAAAAATTGTGTTTTGCACAGTCTAAAGTATACAATTGTCATATTTGCGTCTCCTTTAATTTAAAACTTGTTTAATGATCCTTTGTGCAGTTGGCGTTGGCACTTATTATACGCCTTACTAATAGTTGGATAAAAGAATAAAGCATAATATTATTATTGAAAATCATAAATAACGTGTAAGTACCTGTATAAGAATCTCCTGTGTCGTTCATTAACAGCGAGCAGTTCTAGTTTATCAGGGTTGGCCTTGCGGTTATGCAATGGTATGTCGCCCCACGTCGCTATATTAGCCAACCCTCGCTTCACGTTGTTCTGAGCAGTCAAAACACGCTCTTGTAGTGTGTTTATCGCAGTGTATACTTCCGCCATCCAATCAGTAACTATACAGATCATTTAATTCGATTTAATACAGAATAGTTAATTTGTGCAATAAGGTTTTTTTTACTTAAGTGTGTAATTTGAGCCAAAATTAAAATTATCGTAGTAGACACACTAGCTGTTGCCCGCGACTTCGTTCGCGTGGAATAGTGTTTCAGAGCTCCTCCCCCGTATGTGATAGCATGTATGTAGCATATATGTTAACCCGACCTGTTAGTAATATTCATGCAAAATTTGAAGTAAATCCATGTAGTACTTTTTGAGTTTAGTCCGGACATACATACAAACAAACAGACATAAAATCTAAAAACCATATTTTTGGCGTCAGTGACATTTTTTTTGTAGATCACACCCCAAGCATTTTAAAAAAAAATAATCTATGTACAATTTGCACTTTCCTACGATTTTATTATATGTATTAGACACATAATTCTTTTATTGAAACTTCGATCTACACGAGAGATCACGATGTAATAGTCGGGGAAAATGGAAAAGGAGACCTATACTTTATATTGCACCAACCGAGTGACGTCAGTAAAAGTAGTGAACAAAAAAAAATGTAACATGGAAATATTTTTCACATGTGTCAAGACTTACAGTCATCATTCCAAGTGAGTTCTTCCACACCGTGACCCAGCAACTGGTCAATGGCAGATATCTCCTTCTCAATGAGCGCCACCTCCGTCTCGTGGCTACCCTCACGGATCGCATTATACCACGCTATTGCGCGGTTCAGGCGATTCATATCATACTGACAAATTAATGAGAATCACTTTGTAACATAACAGAAAGTCACAGCCACAGCTTTAGAAACTAAAAGAGTTCGATATACAACACATAACACGGAGCTGTTAGCATCCATTGGGTAATTCCAGCAGTGACTCACGTGGTGCTGTTTCACAATTTTCAACACATCACTTACGTCTCCTAATGACCTAGTACATGGATGGTTAAACTGTAAGGCCTACATAGTGTGCAGTACAAGGCACCCCTGTTCAGAATAAAACCTTATTTAACACATTGGACGCCGTGTCGGACAATGATGTCCGACGCTAGCGGAGAATTGGCCTTCAACAGTTTTTGCCTGCAGTTAATAAAATGCATGTGACTCGAAATAACATATATCCGTTATTCGACTGCACGGTTGGTGCGGTGGCTGGGCAACCGGCTGCCGTGCATCGTGTCGCGGGTTCGATTCCCGCACGGAACAACACTTTGTGTGATCCACAAATTGTTGTTTCGGGTCTGGGTGTCATTGTGTATGTGAACTTGTATGTTTGTAAACGCACCCACGACACAGGAGATAATCCTAGTGTGGGGCAACGTTTTTTAAAAAAAGAAAAAAAAAAAAAAATATAGTTTTTGCTTTATAAACACATTCGTATTCGTGCCTTCTCACCTGCAACTTCTCATTTCTGTTGTAAAGATCCAAACCATCCTGAGGGATGCCTTGCTTCTCCAAGTATTTCATGTAACGAATTTCCCGTAGTAGCATTACAAGCTGTAAAAATAAATTCAAGTCGCAAAAACTTTCATTGAAAATCGAACTACAACACAATCTCATCTAGGTTTTTATTCTGAAACGCAAACACTAGTAATAAGAGTAATTTTTGGCAGTGTAGATCGACTACTGAAACTATCAAAATTTTTGGCGCTCTATTTAGTAGTCGTTACCTAAACACATATAAACTTATTTAAGTATGTGTAAAGAACTGACCTCAGGACTGAAGTTATTGCGAACAAAAGGTGGATCTCGGTATATTAGATTCTTGGCAAGATGAGTCTTGCAAATACCAGGTACAGTAGCACACCACGCCTTGAACTGTTTGTCCTCGGCCACGTTCAGGTAGCCCAGCATTTCATTCGTCTTTTGTTTCATATATAACGCGTATTCTGATTCTATTATACTGTAAAATAAAATATTCATTTAATAAACGTAAAGTCCTACCAAAAAACAAGTTAAAAGGTAAAATAGGATTTTGGCTGAATTTTTATTAACTTTGTTAAAAGAAGAATGTCCCCACCCTTTTCCTTCCGAAGTTCAAAAACCTTACCAGAGATTATAAACCTGTCAGTTACAAAATGTTATCTAATTCATCATCATCATCACCAACAGCCCATAAATGCCCACTGCTAAGCAAACTATCTCACACGGAGAAGCTTTGAGCATTAATCACCATGCTTGCTCAAAGCGGGTTGGCGGCTTCAAACTTATAAATTAGAAATTATAAGCCCAGGTTTCCTCACCATGTTTTCCTTCACGGTTTGTTAGTAGTGTCTAAATAATCATAGAAAGTGGATATAGCTCGGAAAAAGTCACATTGATATTTGCCGTCTTAAACCTCCGGGCCACCTCGACATCATCATTGTAGTACTGTTAATACCATCATCAAAGTCAAAGTCAAAGTCAAAGCATTTATTTCAAATAAACCATAGTTTGGAACTTTTGAAACGTCAACACATACAAAATAAATAATAGTCTGTCAGTCAGTCCGTCAGTGAAATTAGGTGAAGCTAGGTGCTCATTCCAAAATGTAGATTCGAATGGAGAAGAACGAGCAAGAAACTCCATTCGTTACTCTTTTTTTAAAAATGTATGTTCTACAATGTCTCTGATACATTTTTCAATACTGTACGCATATGTAAGAACAATGCAAAGACACGCTTAACGCATTATACTAATATCTTACTAAAATAAAAAAATAAAAATCTTAAGTCTAACATGGTGCTCACATATGCATACTGACAATCCATAGAAATAGTGCTTCTATACAAAAAAAAGGAAACTCTTTGTTTCAATAAAGAAAGAAATGCTCGATGCCATAAGGAAACTAGATTGTCTACATTAGAATTAAAGTATTAAATTATGTATTATATTACCTACTATTGGAATTTAACTACTGACTACATTTGAGTATTGTCCAGTGAAGCCGAACCAACATGCTGCCAAGCATTCTTATCTTCAAGATAATCTGTCAGTGAGTAGTAAGCTTGATTACATAATTCGCGCTTAATATATGTTTTAAATTTACTTTCATTGAGATCTAGTATGCTATTTGGTATTTTATAATAGCATTTAATACCTAACCCCATAAAGGATTTCTGTACTTTGGACAGTCTAAATTGCGGTATAGCTAACTTATTTTTGCCTCTAGTATTAAAATTGTGTCATCAGTACTTATACTTACGGATCTTCAAACATGATAAAATCTTCCATAGGTGACTGAATCCTCCTGCGAAGTTTGTGAATCCACCAGAGCATACCAGCAACTGGTGGTAGATACGGATCCACCATCGGTCGTTCCGGCCCTTTGGTTATTTTCTGTACAAAATAAGGATTTTTTTTTTATTTATCTTTATTGGCCCACCAACAATTGTACAGTAAAATGTTACAATCGATTACAATTATCAATTGTTGGTTAAAAAATCAAACTAAGTTGCATTAATTTACATGAATAAATTAGCAATAGATTAATTAGAAGAAAAGAAAACGCTGCAATAGAATATGAAACTAAAATAAATGAATTACATGTATAGTTCTAAAATGAACCAAGCAAAGAACAAAATCACTATCTACATTCTTCTTATCGAATTTGTTGCCTAAACATATGTAATACCTTTACTAAGAACTGATGCTTACTTATTGTAAAACACGTAAATATATTTTTCAAAATAATTTATATTATAGATATCGCTTCAAACTCACCGCCATTTCTTCATCAAAAATTTCTTTAACAGCGTCCAAATTCGCGTGCATGAAATCAAGTAACCTGGGCAATTTCGGCTTCAATTCATTCTTGATTATAGGCCGGTGAAACAGGTCTCCAATGATTTGGAAAAACTGCATGAATAAGACGAGCAGATTAATCTTACTGACTGATGCTCACCTAAGGTGATACCCGAAACACTCCAGAATCGTTACGCTTGTAACACTGTTGTAGTTTATGGGTCTTGTGGCGTTACACTAGGGGCCTTTTGGGGTTAAGATTGTAGGAGATTCAGAGATTGGGGAGATTGGAGAGGGGCATAATTGTATATCCGGTAACTTCACTCGCACGACAAAATACAACGTAAGCGTTGTTTCACGACGGTTTTCTGTGAGGCCGTAGTATCACTTGGTTGAGCCAGCCGATTCATGCTGAAGCATGGCTCTCGCAAACTCAAAATTTAAACCAGATTTATAAGGATCAATAAACAAAAGAATATAAAATCACGCATTTATGATTTAAACTCAAGTATTTTCATTTTCACTTACAATATAAATCTCCAACAAATACCTTAAAGAAATGCTCCAAATTATGGCACTCGTCAAGTCCTTGTGAGAACAAAGACGCTAGACGTCGGTCTACATCATCTAGTACCGCCATATGGGCGTCATAGTCCACCAAGAATGAATCATCCTCTGGATCCGCGGGGTCATATTGTATGTTACCCAAATGGCTGTATTTTAACGAGTACTCATCTAACACCTGAAAATTTGTAGTAGTATTTAATTAGCATCTTGAAAATTATTCGTTTCAAGATGCTAATTATATACTATAGAATTATAATAGGTATTGCCAAAATATTCCGTTAAAAACTGAAAGGAGGCAAATGACTCGCCAATGATAGCGTCTCAGCTGGTATTATGAAAGTATATTAAATGCAGTCATCTTTGTTACTAAAGGAATAAACACAAGGATTAAGAATTTAACACCCTTACCTTCATGCATTCGGTACTCAGTATCTTGCCTCTTAGGCCACAAAACTCTACTTTTTCCAATTTCAGAATTTCTACAGTAGACTCTAGTATATTTTCGATCATTTTCAGTCGCTTCATGTATATATTGAACCGTTTGAAGACGCGGTCGAAATCGAAAGACCACCGCACTGGCAACACCCCTTGAGGGAAGAATGTGTTCACCTTGTCCCGGTTCATCTCGTACGTCTCACTAGAGGAAGTTACAGATTAATATCAAAACAAAAATTAATATTATACTAGTTATATACCAAACCTCCTTGTATATCAATGGTTACAATACAACTGGCACTGACAATAAAAAATATAGGAAAAGTATTTGAATAATATTACCTATTAGTAGAGTCTATAGAATGGCAATTGTAACGATTCTTACATAAATGTTTTACTACATCAACAGTTATCAGTCTTTAGCATAGTCTCTGCCTACCCCCATGGGAGACAGGCGTGAGGTTAGGTACGAATGCATTACTTACAGGAAATGATTCAAAATGTGCAGAGACTTTCTAATCTTGATCAGTTGTTCATCGGGCTCTCCTTGGAATATAGTCGGGGGATCGACACAGTTTGAGTTTTGCTGTATTACAAGGTTGCATACTTCACGGAGCAAAGCTGTTTGTAAAAATATATAGAATACGCATCAATAAATCTATAATCATAATAATTATGTATCTACTATACCTAATGATGAAGGTATCAAGAATGTTTTACCTAGAATATAGACTCAATACAGAGGTATAACAATGTAAATTTGATATGGCCAGTCACATCAGGGCACACGACAGAATGTAGCTATTAAGGGTCACCGTTACCGAATTCGGTAAGGAGGACTATATATAACAAAGTAATATTTTACGTCAAGTGTATACTTACGAATAAGTTTTTCGACGCTGCAGAAGTATCTAGAATTGCCCCACAGTAGTCCGATGCAATGGAGCATCGGTCTGATCAAATGCTTTCCTTCAACGAATTCTGTTGCTTCAAATGTTTCGAAGTGTGATTGCAAAGGTCTCTGATACACGAATATATCACGACATTCCACAATAGCTGGAACGTACAACATGTAATAATAATATTGTCCATATTAAGGTACTCATGTGTTCTATTTTATCGGATAAAAGTTCGATAATTTATTGAGTAAAAACTCCCTTCCCACCTACCGCCAATGCTTTGTACATCGCAGTTTTAGAAGACTAAAGAAATAGAGCTCACGAGAAACAAGGACGTTATCACTACATAGCATAAAACAAAGTCGCTTTCTCTGTCCTTATGTCCCTTTGTATGCTTAAATCTTTGAAACTACGCAACGGCTTTTGATGCGGTGCGGTTTCTTTAATAGATAGAGTGATTCTTAAGGAAGGTTTATATATATGTATAATACATGCATAATATAGTAAAGAAACACTGATAAATTTAGAGGTTTCTAATGTGATGTCGTAAATCAGCACGTTTTTTTGCGCTTATATTGCAAACGCTGGCTGTACCCGAAATAGACCAAAATAATATACTACCACCTTAAAAAGTTCAACAAAAAAGTCCGCAATGGTATATGTCTATCTATTAGGGATATCTGGTAGAGAATGCAATATGGCATTAAGTTCGCCTTATGTGCCATAATCAAATTGTGTACATTAAAGACTAAATAACTAAATAACCCACCATAACCATTTTTTATCCTTTACTATCAATGGTTATTTACGAAGTGATTCTAAACAATACAGCATTAATCCTTATCCAATTAAGTACTTTAAATAAATTGTGCATTTATCATAGATCAATATGCTTTTTACATCATGTAATTTAAGTGAATATTTCCGAAGATATTACAAATTTAAAATGCAGGGACGTATTTGTAGCGGCGTTGATGGCCGCGTTTCGTCCTAGAGCACTTCATGACTTGCAACGATCGCACGCGTTTATCGGTGCTCTCTAGCGAGGAAAACATCAATATAAAATGTTTGTATTATGTAATGACAAAATAGCTGTGAAAATGGTGTATAAGGACATTTGTAGTAAGTATTTTTACATAAGTATTGCACCCGTGCGAAACAGGGCCGGGTCGCTAGTAGTTGATAAGATTCTGATACTATTCGTGTAGGTTAAACTTTATCATTACATGAACAAGATAAATACTACAAGTAAGTGTGGAAGTTGAAACCCACCAGCTACCACATTGGTAAGCATGGTCTTGAAGCAACTCAAGTACACGCTCTTCGTGTCCTCCAGATAATGTGCCATCCTCTTGACCCGGGGATCTCGCAGTTGTGAGTATATACCTTCTAGATTCTTCAGCCGCTGTTGGTAGAATTCTAAATCCGCACTCGGTAGGGGAAATTTCGTTCTTTTGAATGCTATAAACAACATGTTCAATTAATAGAGAAGATCAAAGTAGTAAAGATATAAAAAATAGTGTAAAGTAAAACACTTTGATGATTATCTGGCACACTCCTAGAGCAGGAATTTCCTATACAAATAAGCTGATAATACGACCTATCTAAAACTTAGCATTTATGATGAAGAGTATTAAAGACACAAAAAATCTAATTATTCCAATGATTGACATCTGTTTAAGTTACAATTTGTCTACACCTACAGTTAACTATAATGCTCACCGATATATGAATCCTGTGCCAATAAGTCATGAACTTGTTGCGTCCATTTTATTATAGCTCCCTCTATGTTTGTTTTCAAATACAAGTCTACATCTTCTCCATCGCTACAACACGAAATAAAAAATAAGCATAATCATGTATAATTATTAACGAACTCATCTTCATCTTCGAAAAAAATATTAAACTTTCATAATTTCTCCTTTTAATTGGGAACGGGATTACGCGTACAAAGTCGTGGGCAGAAGCTAATAGTTCAATATAATGCTTATATAGTATAGTAAGTTATTCTATTATGCTAGATTTGATAAGAGAAAACTCGTAGGTATTTTATTCTTTTACCTTTCTTTTAACCTAGATTCCGCTTGATAAATGGTTTCTACGCCCGCCGGCATTGGTAGTAACACTTGACTAGTCATTTCTCCTTTTAACTGCAATTTTAGATATATTATTTTTATCTGCGTATTGTAGATCATAATTTTGTAACCGTTGAAATATTTTCTTAATTATACCAACCTGGTACATCAAATTCCTCAGTTCATTGACATGTCTTCGCATATCATTCTGTACTATCCTAGGCCATCCCCTCTGATTTTCTGGGTTACACAGAAGAGGTCCAATCACTTCGTCAGCCAACACAGTTAAGTCGTTCAATACGTTACCTGACATTTCCCCAATAGTTAAGGCCTGTTAAAGTAAATAAATATCATAAAAGATAATTATAAAAAAGTCGTGTTAGTTACATTATTTATAACTCAAGAACGGTTTCATGAATTTAGCTGTAAATTGATGCGCAGATAGCGTAAAACTAGGAGACGAACAACGGATACGTTTTATCCAAGAATTATTCGAATATCCTGTGGGAACGGGAAGAAACGGAATTACGCGTACGAAGTCGTGGGCAGAAGGTAGTAGTTCATTATAATGCTTATAAAGTTATTCTATTATGCTAGACTACAACGTATCTCAGGTGCTAAGACATACACCTTTGCACTTCTACGTATCTGTCATATTACGGCCTAACCATCATGCTACGACAAAATTCTCGTGCTACGACGTGACTCATTTGCTACGATGTAGGTAACCCGTGCTACGGAGCAACTCTCGTGCTACGACGTAATACGTGTGCTACGACGTGTCTCATATACTACGACATAACTCTCGTGCTACAACGTAATGCGTGTGCTACGACGTAACTCGTGTACTACGACGTAACTCTCGTGCCACGACATAATGTGTATGCTACCTACGATATAACTCGTGTACCGAGACGTAACTATATATTTTAATTATGTTAAAATTCTTAAGTTACCTGTCGAAAATTTGCCTGCGTGATTTTCTCATCGACATTTCTCAGAAAATATACCATCTTGCTCCTGCTAAGAGGTGGAAACGACAAAGTACAAGTAAGCAGGCCGGCCGTGTTCAATCGAAACACTAATACTTCATACTTTGGAGTGTCGAAAAATCTAAAAAGTATGTGCTGAAACCAATTTTATATTCATGATGAGGATTCAATTCAAATGGATAATTGATTCTTTAAAATGTCACCATAATGAATACTAACCTTATCATCGCCAGTAATGAACTTATTCCATTTTTCAATCTTTTGTTTCAATGTTTTCAACAAATATTCGCTTAAGAATTCCAATCTTCTATCAGCTTCGTCTTTTTGCTAAAAGAAGAAAATTATCAGAATAACATCCAATTGCATCAATTGGACATCAAAAGCCTTGTGGAAGAGGTATCTACAAAAATGGTTTTCTATTCTGAAATTTTCCGAAAGCAGTTCGACACTTTGTCGAGACAGAAAATGTATATTTTAAAGCTGCTTCACCTTCACTAAAACATTAGATACAACTTCTACTTGGTGACGCGCACCATATGTAACATATAATACACCTATTTACTCTGAAATACATAAAATACAGAAAACCATCGAGTTCAAAAAGATTAAGGTAGCAGACAATATTATAAGTAAGAACAGGAAATATACTTACATCACCCATATTGCACGCTTTTTTTAGGTTTCACTCACAGAACCTATCCTAATAGTACACGATTAAATCATTTTTATAAAATAAAAATAATAAAATCAAGACGTATTAGAAATTTTATGCTATATGATGAAATTGTTTACTATAAACAAAAAAATCGTCAAGGCAACCGAACCTAATTAATTTTAAATTTCGAGCCAAAAAATATTTTAATGTTGCCATAGTAATGTCAATACTACTACTATTACTACAATACATGTTTCTTTCAATGTTAGGTGCAGTTTTAGATGTATTTTAATTTTTCAATGTTATATTTACAGTTTGACTATTACAATTAATTTATTTGATATCCACATGTAAAACTATCAGGTCATGCAAATTAAGAACTTTGATGTTTGTAAAGTATTACCGAAAATGAAATGAAACGTCGCGTTACTTAAACTCATCCTTGATGGCAAAGTGTCACCGTCTTTCATGTTATAACGTCAAAATTGCGCGCCAAAATCCGGCTTGGAAGTTCGACTCGCATCTGCCTGTTGTTGTTTGTGAATAAAAACTATTGCATATAAAACTTGTTTGTTTTTGGATACCAATAATTAGTAACAATGGAAGGATTTGATGATCCCGGTGTCTTTTTCTCCGATAACTTCGGCGTCGAGGAAAATGAATCTCAAGATCAACTTAACCTACAAGCAGTTAAAAAGAAGTTTAAAGAATTTATCCGACAGTTCCACACCGGTAACTTTAACTACAAATACAGGTAAATATTTTGTGCTCTAATCCCTTAACTAGTAACATCACTGTAATTTTATTGATTAATATATGCTTTCCTACTCTCTAACTTTTATATTTACTTAACACTACCTTGTTAACAGAGACGCCTTAAAACGCAATTACAACCTAAGTAATTACTGGGTGGAGATCAACATTGAAGATTTATCTAGTTTTGATGAGGTTTTAGCTGAGAAATTGTACAAAAAACCCACAGAACATTTGCCCATATTGGAGGAAGCGGCTAAAGAGGTACAACTTTAGTACTTAATTGCTTACCAAATCTACATCTTACTATATTATTACTCTAGATCCATTTATTTTACTCCTAGACTAGTATTCAAAACCAGTGTTAAAACTTCAGAGTGTAGAGTCTGTCTGATCTAATAAGATTCTTGTGTTTTGCCTCATTTGTAATCTCTTGTTTTTTTTTTATTTTTATAACTTCACATTGAAAGTATTATGTGACTTCTTTATCGTGTAAAAAAACTCAATTCCCTAACTTTACATGCATGCAAGTTTGTATAAACACAATTTTTATTTTAGTAAATTTTGTAATTTATGCAATGCATCAAATGTGTTTTTGCACTGTTTTCACATATACAGACCATATTGGATAATATATCAGAGAGATAACATATTATTTACTAAAAGAGTAATGAATGGAATTTCTTGCTTGTTCTTCTCCATTTGAATCTACATTTTGGGATGAGCTTGACTGACAGACTATTATTTATTTTGTATTTGTTTATATTTCAAAAATACCAAATTATGGTTTAATTGAAATAAATGCTTTGATTTTGATAACAGTTTTACTGCTATAAATGTTCCAGTTGGCTGATGAGCTGACAGCACCAAGACCTGAAGGGGAAGAGAAAGTTGAAGACATACAAGTCCTATTGTCTTCAGATGCACATGCTGCTAACCTGAGAGAATTAAAAGTAGGTGTACCTATCTATATACAGTTACCTCGGGAATATCAAAATTTTCAGGGATAAAAAGTACCCTATTATTTATTCCGGACTTCTAACTTTATGCCTGCAAAAATTCAGAGCAATCGGTTTAGATGTTACGGCGTGAAAGCGGAACAAACAAACAAACTCACTTTCCCATTTATAATAGTAAGGATGGGGTCCTAAAAATTCTGTGTTAGGGGCTCTGATTGGCTGGCTCCAATAAAGTAACCAATCAGAAAGCCGAATGCGGACTTGTTTTGATTACTTTTAATGTAAAATAAACACATACTAAGGTCTCAGGAAGCCAAAATGGATCTTACTGACAAATGACAATAATATAATGTTATCTTCATTTTACAGTCTGAAACAGTCTCCCGACTCGTAAAGATACCTGGCATTGTTATATCAGCCTCAGGGATCAAAGCCAAAGCAACAAAGATCTCAATTCAATGCAGATCATGTCGCAACATCATTCCTAATTTGCCTGTGAAGCCTGGATTAGAAGGATATGTTATGCCCAGAAAATGTAACACGTAAGTTAAATATGTATTCCCTGGAACACTGCTCCTATATATTTGAAAAAGAACATAATAACAATTAGTGATAATCTACTAGAAATTTATTCATTCATTACTCGTTTTGATTAGTTTTAGCTTGCTTTCCATTTTAATTGAGAACTGGTTGAAATAATGAGTGCCTAAACCAAAACAAAATATATTTAATTCACAGAGAACAAGCAGGTCGACCCAAATGCCCATTGGATCCCTACTTCATCATACCAGATAAGTGCAAGTGCATAGATTACCAGGTAAGATCAGCTGCATACTTCATTTTGCATTTTTTTAATATCCTAAAATACTTTGTGTGTGTGATTATTAATTGATTCTCTGGTTCACATGAACATTGAAATGAAGCAAGTAACACATCAAATAATTTTCAGGTACTCAAACTGCAAGAAGCTCCAGAAAGTATCCCTCAAGGAGAAATGCCACGTCATCTGACAGTATATTGTGAACGTGTCCTGTGCGAACGAGTCGCTCCTGGTGCTAGGGTTACTGTGCTTGGGATATATTCCATTAAAAAAATTGCCAAAATTGGGGTGAGTTGGTAAAGAAAGCATGAAAATGTGGCATAAATAATACTCTTTAACTGCCATTGTAACACTTTTACTGATTACTATGTTTTTGCATATAATTTCTACATTTTGCATATAATTTCTACTTGCTGCTTCTTGACGAAAGTATATTTGCAGAAGGAAGGCAGAGACAAAGGCTCAGTCGGTGTTCGTTCCTCCTACCTCCGTGCTGTCGGTCTAACTGCCGAGGAAGGAGTTACTGGAGGACTCCGACCATTTACTGCTGAGGAAGAGGAACAGTTCCGAAGACTGGCGGCGTCACCTGATATTTATGATCGTATCGCGATGTCCATAGCACCCAGTGTTTTTGGTGCAGTAGACATGAAAAAAGCTATTGCCTGCCTCTTATTTGGTGGTATGTGTGTTTTCTTTTTTCGTATTGAAAGTATAAATATTTAATTTACAGAATATTTTTCTTAACTTTGAATATTCTACTTCTTTTAACAGGTTCACGCAAGAGATTACCCGATGGCCTGACTCGCCGAGGTGACATTAACATATTGCTCCTGGGTGATCCTGGTACGGCTAAGTCACAACTCTTAAAGTTTGTGGAGAAAGTCGCTCCTATTGGTGTGTACACCTCCGGCAAAGGTTCCAGTGCAGCCGGTCTCACTGCTTCTGTGATCAGAGACCCAGGCAGCGTAAGTATATAACTTAAAATTCTTCATAAGCTCGTGAAGACACATTTTAAATGTAAAGAAGTTAAGTAATTTCCATGTTCCAATTTACAGCGTAACTTCGTCATGGAAGGTGGTGCGATGGTCCTTGCAGATGGCGGTGTTGTATGCATCGATGAATTCGACAAAATGCGTGAAGATGACCGAGTGGCTATCCATGAAGCCATGGAGCAGCAAACTATTTCCATTGCTAAGGTATAATAGTTATTGTTTTCTTTAATAAACATATGTGATTGATTACAAGGTACATACATTAATTTTCCTATTATTTTTACAGGCTGGCATTACCACCACATTAAACTCCCGCTGCTCAGTCCTTGCAGCCGCTAATTCCGTGTTCGGCCGATGGGATGACACCAAAGCTGATGACAACATTGATTTCATGCCAACTATTCTATCAAGATTCGACATGATTTTTATTGTCAAGGATGAACATGACCAAAACAGGGACATTGTAAGTTTTTTCATATTATTAACCCGTTGATATCCAATCCCCTAAATTTGGTAATACAAAAGTAGTCTCTAAACATTAGAAATAAGGTAAGGTAAGGAAACTTTAGGGACTAAATGCTTTTGCTTTCACTCAACTTGTAAAACAAAAAAACTTGTAAAACTTGTAACTTGTCTTATTAGTAAACAGTATCTACAGAAGTCTTACTCTGTAGATACTGGTTACAATTCACTAGAAAATTCATAGAGGAACCATTCTAGTTCCTGGTGATTTAATATCAGCAGTTAAAATTACCTTGTCCTATCCTTTCAGACTTTAGCGAAGCACATTATATCAGTACATATGGGAGGTGATAGCGTAGAACGTGAAACTGCGGCTGGTGAGCTACCACTCGCGTTGTTGCGGCGGTATTCCGCCTACTGCCGCGCTCGCTGTGGCCCCCGTCTCTCTGCCAGCGCGGCTGAAAGACTACGCGCCCGATACGTGCTCATGAGGACCGGAGCCTCTCAACACGAGAGACAAGTTGACAAACGTCTCTCCATACCTATTACAGTGAGGTGAATACTTTTCGTACCTACAACAAAATTATACAAATACAGATTATAAGTAAACAGAGAGTGCACTTATACTACAAAATCTCTTGTTTTGTTGGCTAGTCCCTGTTTTTTTAATTGACCACTGCAACTAAAATCATTGTCTAATTTTCATAACCAAAACTAAATTGTTCATTGTTATATTTTCAGACAACTGGAAGCTATTGTCCGTATATCTGAATCTCTTGCCAAGATGCAACTGCAACCTTTTGCTACAGAAGTCCACGTCACAGAAGCGCTACGTTTGTTCCAAGTGTCCACACTAGACGCCGCTATGACTGGCAGTTTAGCTGGTAAGTGTTCTTATAAGATACAGACCTTTTTTCAACATATCGTCAAAGATTTTCAAGGTTGGTGTTGCAACAAGCTTACATAACAAAAAATCTTTCATTCTAGGAGCTGAAGGATTTACCACGGAAGAAGATCATGAAATGTTATCGCGCATTGAGAAGCAACTGAAGCGCAGGTTCGCAGTTGGTTCCCAAGTTTCTGAACAAACAATCATTCAAGATTTCCTCAAACAAAAGTACCCGGAGAGGGCCATCCTCAAAGTTATACACACTATGATTAGACGCGGAGAATTACAACATAGACTGCAAAGGAAGATGCTGTATAGGCTCTCGTGATTTGTTTTTTGTTACTTTTATTACTTGTATTTTTATTGTAATTGAATAAAAAAGTTAATCATGTATTTTTAAACATTTTTTATTCATGATCATAAACTGACCACAGTTTTTAATAAATAATACTTTGCTTGAAGCAAATAACATAAATTTTTAATCAGTTTAAAACTGATCATTTACATATTAACTATTAAAGCTAAAAGTGGATATCAGCATGTTGCTATCACTGGTGTCCAAACTTTTAATTTACTGACACGCGAGCTTGTGTGTGTGAATTTGGAAAGCAAAGACTGACTGACTAGGTAGTAACAAGCGTTTAGCGTATTAAATATCGTCTTCCGATAGTTGCTTCTTCACGTTCGCGAACGGATATTCAGGATGAAATTCTACTCCTTTCCAGAATAAAAAGTTGAAAATCCTTCCTTTTTCTCCCTTATCCAACCGAATCAGGGTATTCATTTCTTCTTCTGACAATTCAAAGTCATAAATATTCTTATTTTCCTGAAACAATACATACTTATTATAATAGGAAGGAGTAATAGTTTATGTATGTATAAGTAGTTAAGACAGTATAAAATATTTATGAGTAAATAAATAATTATTAAATTCACCTCCAATCTGTCCAAATTGGTACTCTTTGGAATAACAACAATTTTTTGTTTAACCAAGAAGTGAAGTAATATTTGTGCAGGTGTCTTCTCATATTTTTTGGCCATTGTGTCCACTTCTGGTAGAGACAGCAAATCAGGGAAAGTATTGGGGCTAAAATGACAAATATAAATTCATAAACTTATATAAAATGTAGGTACATGATTATATAGATACAGCCAGAGCTAATTGGTGACATTACATCCTTATTTTTTCTACAAAATATTACTATGTTGTACTGTGTCCTTTTTTTTTAAAGGGGCAAAAATACTGTGTCCTTTAAGGACCTTAGTTGTGTCCTAGCCTTGAGTCATTCTTATATAATACCTTGTGTAACATTATGGAACAAATAATTGATGAATAGGTTTAACCACCTGTATTTATATTTGGTGACAAAGTGGTTTTTAGCGCCAGGGCTCCCCAGAGGGGCATATGCAGTTAAAATAATGTTATGTTTTTCACAAAATTTCCGCAATTCATTTTGCTGGAAATATGCGTGAAGTTCTACTTGCAACACCTGTGGTTTAAATGTCGCATGTTTCATAATTTTCTCTATTTGTTCCTCATTAAAATTAGATAAACCAATGTTGCGAATGAGACCTGATTTTTGGCACTCCTCCAATTTCTGAAACAATATTTTAAACAATGAAAATTACTTGATCAATGTCTGATTTATCTGACTTTCAATGTACCATAAATAACTTAGTACGGTAATAAAAGCGGTAATAGAGCGAAACAGTAATAAAACTTACCTTCCAGGTCGCTACATGATCTGTATCCATATCCAACTCATAATTCCCTTCCTGATTAACTTTGGGTGTCAGTGTCTCAGGATCGCAATGGAAGCCAAAGGGTACATGTATGAGATATAAATCCACATAAGACAGTTGCAAACGTTGCAGTTGAAGATTTACGAATTTCTCGACATCAGAAGCCCTGTTAGCTATATGTGGTAGCTGAAAAAACACGATTATATGTATTTGTATGATACCACATCACTAAAAAAGTATGGTAGGGTATATGGTAGGGCTATGGTACTTAGATATAATTATCACAGAAAAAAAGTACGTGTACTAACCTTGGTGGTAATGAACAACTCAGTTCGAGTTCCTCTTCCATCATCAATCCATTTGGCAATAGCACTGCCAATCGCTTCTTCATTATTGTAATTAAATGCTGTATCAATATGCCTATATCCTAGTTCCAGAGCAGCATATACAGTAGACTTAACAATAGATGGTTCAGCCTTAAAGAAAAATGTGAATGGTTGTTGGTTAGTTAGTTATCTAATTAGCGTTTAATAAAGAAAATTTATTCAATCATTACGTTACCTGCCATGTTCCTAAGCCCAGTGTGGGCATCACATCGTTTGTTTGTGATAGCTTAACAAGCTTCATTTTACTAATTGTATTATGATATTGGCAGCTACAGCTGACTGTGGCTCTGAAAATCGAGCGTGTTCTAATCATGAAACTGAAACACACTGACAGTAGCAAAACTTGGCCAAGAGCCAAAATATAGAAATTGAATCAAACTTACAGTAATGTGCGACGTCTAATATGAGAATACAGCTGGCACAGTTTTCTATAAACCGCAGCGTACCTTTTATCCTTTGCACAAGTCCATTAATTTGCCTATCTCAATCGAAATATGTCAATTATTTTTGTGAAAGATATTGATTTTACAAACGTAAAGGCAGATTTCAAATTTGGCGGCCAGTAGCTTCTTGTCATTTCTTGTGGGAAATATTGATTATGGCTACATCATTAATTTGTTGATATTGAAATTATCCTACTCGTCTAACGGAAAATATGCGTAATTATATTTGAGTCCAGGTTTTATTTATTTGAATATAATAATAACTGTCGCATTTTAACTTTTGACTAAAACTTACTACAAATTAGGTCTTCGTCGGTGACATTCACATCCTTTAGTATTGAAGTATTGCCATAAGCACATCTCTGTTAATATTTGACATTTTTGACAAATATGACAGATAGAGTGGGTGACAGTGACATTGAAGAGTTGTTTGGATTTGGATTTGTATTGTTCAAATTTGTATTGTATTGTAACACGCGCTATTGCAGATCAAATTGGTCACCACGTATTTATTGTGTTAATTCCCGCCAAAAAGCTGAAAAAGCTTTTAAGTGTTACATTCCCAATCCCAAACCAAATATTATATTTGCTAAAAAATGGGTGTAAGTAAATTCACAGACACTGCTGCTGTAACTGTATATTAGTTTAAAATTTAGCGATACATAATAATTATTCGGTTTGGTTTTTCAGAAAAAGACGCAAGCTAATGTAAATAAGAATAAAGAGAAACGCAATGCAAGAAAGCAGGAGCAACGTCGGATCGCGGATGGAATGTCGAGCGTAAACTCAGCCAATAAATTGAAAGATTTGGCTACACTGTGCAAAGAACTCCTTGTTTACCGGAATAATGAATTAGAAGTAGAAATGTACATTCAACGGGTCACTGAACTGGATAAGAACGTGCTTGAGTGGGCGATTGACTTAACTGAAAGGAATATGAAACATTTGTAAGACAACATTTTTCGTAATTGTATATTTCGTTTTTACCAGTTTAGTAAAATCTCTATACTGTGATAGTCCAGGCTTTAAATTACATATCCTATCACTTGCTAATTCTCTTAATAATTTAAAATTTGCTATTCAGTTAAGAATCAATTTACATCATTTTGTTATAAATAATTAGGTAGGTTATTTGCAAGGCTCTATTAATTAAAAGGATTTTTGAGCTATCTCCCTTAACTTAGGTCCGTTTCTAATCAGGAAGACAGTAAGGGGAAGGGGGTAAGGCTGTTCAAAACTGCCCCATGGTTTTAAGTTAGTCTCTATAGGTATGTTTAACTTAAACTGTCAAACACCGAACGGTCACCGGTGACCGCAACATATATTGTTCTTTAACTCGTTGAGTACCGTCATTATAGACACAATTATAGAACAATAGGTTGCGGTCACCGGTGACCGCTTGGTGTTTGACAGTTTAATTGTGTCTATAATGACGGTGCTCAACAAGTTAAACTGAATTTTCATGTATTATGAAGCTATAATGTATAATTCAGAAATCCTAGAATTTGGTTTGGTAGTTAGCAATAAATGTGTATTACAATAGTCATAATTAAATTAAAAAAAATACTATTTATCCTTTTCATTCTACAATACTTCATAATTTCTTAATATTCATTACTGGCTGTACCTGCACGTTTTCACCTGCCTTACTCAGGTCCAGCCCATAGCCTTCCTCTATGCATGGACTATCCAACACAAAAAGATTATTCAATTCGGACCAGTAGTTCCGGAGATTAGCACATTCAAACAAACAAACTCTACAGCTTTATACAGGGTGTAAAAGGAACGCACTTGAAACAATAAGTTAAGAAATTGTTTTTACAACTTTAATAGTTTTTGTTTTCGTATTATTCATTGAACATCAGCCTTGAGCTCTTGATTACAACAATTATTACAGAAAAGAAACATTTTAATTCCTTACTTTGATGACAATAAAACTTGTTTTTAACCATCACCTGTCGGTGTTTCGTTGTTTACACCCTGTATATGATATTAAAATATAAATCATAAGTATATAGGTAGATTTAAAACATATTTTAAACTGTCAAACACCAAGCGGTCACCGGTGACCGCAACCTATTGTTCTATAATTATTTCTATAATGACGGTACTCGACGAGTTAATTATTTCTATTACAGATATGAAACTTGTGCCTGGGGATGGAATCGGGATCGTAAAGTGGAGGAGATGACAGACGAAGGTGCATGGTATCTCATTGCAAGGGAAAAGAAAGGAACACTACTTGCATTCTCACACTTCAGATTTGATATGGACTTTGGGGATCCAGTTCTATATTGGTGAGTTTTATAAAGATTTTGCTTATGGATTTTCTTAATTTTCTACTCCTCCTCCTCTATGCAGTGAAAGAGTGTCATGAATACCCTTTTAGGTCACTTTCTCTCACACAATATGTTCTCTGCTAGCTGACAAACCTAGTACAGTAAAAATATTTTATTTCTGACCTTTCCTGGACTACTCCAAATATTTCAAGATTTTTTTTTTTTATCGAATAGGAGTAAACGAGCAGATGGATCACCTGATGGTAAGCGATCAGCGCCGCCCATGGACACCCGCAACACCAGAAGAGTCACAGAAAAAATATGACAGAAGATAAAAATCTTCTCTCATATTTTTTTTTCCTAACTGATTTTTCAACTTTTAAACATTCCCTGGACTACCATGAACATTTCAATACAAAAATTAGCCAAATCGGTTCATCTGTTCTCGAGTTTTAGTGAGACAAATTAACGGAAATTCATTTTTATTTATACAGATTTAAGTCTTTCACTATTATTCTACACATGCTCAATATTTCCAATATAAATTGTATCTATTAAATATGTCCATCTTCACATATTATTTTGTCTTTGTAGAAAACTAGTTTTTACCCGCGTCTTCGCTCGCGTCACAAAAGGATAAAAAGTAGCAAGTGACATATACCAATACACACAGTGCCATCAATACCAATACTTTTGTCTTCCCTCAGGAATATCAAATTTTTCCGGGATACAGATATCAAATTCTAACTTTACATCTGCAAAAATTCAAAGCAATCGGTTTAGTAGTTACTGCGTGAAAGCAGAACAAACAAACAAACAAACTCACTTTCCAATTTATAATATTAGTAAGGCTTGTGTCAAAATCTGTCTAGCTACATGTTTAGGTGCAAAAGAGAAGTCTCTTTTGCCTTATATGAAAGTAAATGATGGGCAATGGCATAAGAAGCATTCAAGTAAAAATGAATTGCTAAAAATGTGATGGAAACTAAAGAAGTTTGCAAGGATCCACAGCAAGTGGCACTCTGTTCCTGTCTACCATTCAATATAGTGTAAATAAAAAGTCCTCATAAAAATCAGTTCTAAAATATTTAGAAATTATATTTATTTCTTTTGTCTTTGCATTTTGATCATAAGGTTTTATATGCTTTACAATGATTTCTCTGTACTGTCATATTAAATTGGTTATTCCTGCAGACAAATAACAAGCAAAGTTTTTACTACTTAATACTAAACTCCTCTAAAGGAACTTTTTAAAATTAAATGCTAATTTCTATACACAATTTAAAATTATAATATGTAATTTTAACAATAGAACATGCAAACTTTTCAATAAAAGTATTTGGTAATTACATAATATTAAAATTGTTTCTTGTATTTTACGATATACGCAAAATCTCATCGACAGACTACAGAAATATATTTTTTAATTATCTTACATCTTATAAAATAATATTTACACCTAAACATTATATAATACAGTGTGAGTGAATATTCTCTAGAACAATAACACTCATCAATTGGGTTTCACTTTGTACTTCCACAAAATACATAAGAAGAAACTAATGTTTTTTCTCAACAGTCTTTTTTCAAAGACTAGTTTTTCCTTTGGCCACCAGCGTATGCATCGTGTACATAGGTACCTAAATAGCTTATGTAGTATGTATATGGTGAGCAGCGCCACGGCAGTGCTTAGTGCTACTACGTCAAGTAACATGTACTGCGGGTAGGTGAGGTCGAGGGCAGGTGACCGCATATGCGACGCTCCCCTATGTCTCAGTACATATTCTATCCAATATACGCCCATATCCAAAGGCTTCATTGGCCGGTCCAAGAAAATGTTCTTCAACTCTATCGCTCTATTTTTATATCTGAAAAATAATAATTGAATAATATTAACTATAATGACTGCCTCGTTGGCCGAGTGGTCGCAAGTGCGACTGGCAAGGGGTCTCGGGTTCGATTCCCGGTTTGGGTTTAAAAAAAAATCTCAGTAGTAGCACGGAGTCTGGAATTGTGCCCGGTATATGCAATAGACTCACCCCCTATTACGTGGGACTATAACATAAATAGTGAAACGTGGGTGTTACTTCTGTGTGCACCTCTGCCTACCCCTTCGGGGATAAAAGGCGTGATGTTATGTTATTAACTATAAATATAATAAACTATGAGAATAATTATAAATAATAGATGGCGCTAGTGGTAGCACCAGTGAGACCCATACTCATGATTCAGAGACCACCAGTTGTATGTCCACCAGACCAAATTCGTCACGTGGATGTGAAATAGCGAAAGGTAATTTCGCATCCGTAATTTTTCTGGTACAATTAGCACCAGATTTACCTTGCTTAAAATTTTTACGGTAGTAGATTTTTGCAGCAGGTAAAAAACATGCAGTCGACTTTCACGCATGATTATATCATATAATGAAAGTAGTCTCGGCCATTATCTCCGTAGCATATTATGTCACCGAGGTTATCTAGACAGACTGCATTGTCTCGAACCTCACGGATCCATCATTCGTGTTACTATAGCAATGTAGGTACAATGTATGAATAGATAAAACGCACCGTTGATCTGTTAACAACTCCCGTAGTTTTCGTCTCCATGTGTCTTTGTCAGTATTTTTGAGAGTAACAATTTCTGCGACACCCCTGTCAGCCATCGCTCGTGCGTTGAGCGCCTGGTCTGCGTACAGCGGCACCATCAACATTGGGACCCCACAGGCCACAGCCTCTTGTGTGCCCAGTAGACCACCATGCGAGATAAACAGCTTCACGTTCGGATGACCTGTCAACATTACATACCGTTTGTCACAAGCAACCGATAAGAATGTAATCGTGTAATTAAAGCGTCAGAATTAAAGTATAAATATTGATGAGTGATTGTAAGTGTTCATTGATCGCTTAATTTTGAAGTTATCACGCAGAATAGTGATTAATAGATAAAGGGATTATCATCGAGAGTTACTACAGGGGTCGGGTTTGGGCGATAAGAAGAAAATTGCAACTTACATAAGGTAGCGTGCTGTGGTATCCAGTTCATGGTGTAAGCGTTGTCAGGCACTGTAAGGTTCTGTGCCAACATACGCCTGTCCATCTTGATGAACACCGTCTGAGGCAGCTCCGACAACACGTCAAATATTCGTGATAGTGTATCACTTGGTATCGTTTCTATCCTCGACATTGATCCGAAGCTCCAGTAGATCACGCCTTCGGTTGATGCGTCCAATAGGTTTTGCATGTGCTATAGAAAAAACTTTAATTTTATAGTTACTCTGATCATGATCTTCAAAAACCTTAATTTTGCTCTTTCGCCTTCGTTTACCCGTAAGTTTATAGCTGATATACCATTCTGCATTCTCTAAAAACCACAATACTTCCGAGAGTACCAAAAACCTCTATCGCTAATTTTTACCGGTAGTGGAAATTGAAGAAGAGGTAGTTTATTAAATGATTTGCCGTGTATTTTGCATCAACAACATTATGAACGGTAAAATTAATCACATTTCATCATTTGACACTATCTGTTGTCAGGAGGGTCTTAGGTCCTGGGTCGGAGAGATAGGCGGTTCCCTATTGCATCTGGAAATGTAGGTTACATAGACTTCTTGTATTGACGGGGCTACTCTATGAAATATACCTATGTAACACATGGGTAGGTTGTTGTACCACTAAAATGATGGAGTTCATTACTCTCATTCCAGTAGGTTCTTAAGTAAATACAACAGATGAACATTTTCATTTATATAAATAGGTATAGTATCTTCTACTTATGAACGTTGCTCTGTAGATATCTAATTTCTTCTTATATAACAAAAATTTTGCAAATGAAGTTGAGATTGACTAGTAGTCAAGATGCATCCACTCGATCGATAGCTTTATCTAAAATTTTACTGTTTACGTGTTTGTCTTGTCCTTATTTGTTTGTGACATCATTTTATTATTTCTCTGAAGATTTTAATTGCATCAATAATGAGTTATTATTTATGATATACTCATAATTATGCCTTTAATTTGTTTTTATAGTTTACTATGACGTGAGGTTCTGTTGCTCAACGAGATCATGAACGAAGCCTGCGAACTAAATCGAACACTACTACCTATTAGTAGAAAATAAAATCCTTTAAAATTACACATCCCGTTTAAGACTAATTACATTTTACACGTTTAATTGTGTTTACTCAACGTTTAACTTAGGGTTTTCGAGGTTATTAACGCTACCGAAGTATAGAGAATATCTAGATAGAAACATAGTTGCCACAGTGAATAGAACAGACACTAAGATTCCCTTACTTCAAACGAGGCAAAAAGATTCCAAATCAATGACCTATGTTAATCTTAATAGAAATGCCTAGACTCTAAGGGTTGAGATAACTGTTGCCTATGAACCTAATAATCATTGAAACTGTAACATTAACGGTTGAGATAATTTCTGTGGACATGCAGTCTGAGTGACCCAGTGACTTGGGAATGATACGTGCGCCTACCGCTTGCCGCGCGCCGATACGACCTATGATTAAAGTGCATTAGAGGTGATTTAATGTGCTAATAAATTACTAATAGCAATGTCGAATGATTTATATTCTCATTAGATACTATCGCCAGCTAAGGTACTTACACGTGACAGAACTGGAGAATCGTCCAAATGCAATCCTCCAACCTCTACTAAAGTAGGCACCAATGGCCTCACTTCGTTGATGCTGAAATGACTGTTCGACAAAACCAAACTATAGTTTTGTGCCAATGTTTCCAATTTCGGTCCCGGCCCAAAAAGTCTGTCCGACATAGCCTAGAAACAAACACATTAGTTTAAATTTCTAGTCGTCATCTTGTTTTGTACCTAAATAAATGAGAATGGGGCTAACCTGCGAAGGGATTTGCGATTTGTATCTATACAAAATCTTTGCTATAATCACCGCCATGGTGTTAGCAAATCTTTCCCATAGTGACATTCGTTGGCCATATCCGACCATATACGATGGTACGTAGGCAGTCGCCTCAGGGTTTCCAAGCTGCTCATTCAGCCAGGGAAGTGGAACACTTGAGAGGAAGCCGACCACAGGAGCTCCATATTTCTTGCCCAGAGGTAGAAAGCAATCACTTCCAAACACTTCAACTATAACCAGATCGAAAGTCTCTGTCGAATTGAACAATGCTTTGACCGCTGGTACTTTGGCAGCAATCTCACATGCGTCCACGCATTCTTTCATTATCTGTTCCAAGTTTCTTATAAAATCGGGCTTTAATGAGTCATTTTGTTTCGTAAGATTGTTAGTGATTTCTGGTATCGTTCCCGCTAGACTTATTTGATGAACATTCGGTCGAGGATTTTTCTGAAAAAATAAAAAAGTCAGTCACACACTTTTTTTATTTTTCGCAGTGTTTTTTACATATATATGTACCGTTGAGTATGTGACAATGACCTGTTTGACCTTAGAAAAGTGTATCTTACATGTCGATGCCTTTATGTCTACTATGTCGTGTAGGTACTGTTACTATCTATTGCGATCATACCACACATATAAAGAACAAGATAAGGAATTACTTTGCCCTTAGACAAAATGGCGCTATCTTACGACGATTGCCTCTTTGATTGATTGCAATAAATTATCTCCCATTAGGCGTAGTCTGTTTATGAATCCAATATCTTTAAGATATGCGGCTTACCCGGTAGACTATACATTGATATCCAAACGATAAATACGACAGACGAATACAAAAAAAGGAATAACAACGTTTTTGAACAAATTCATTCAAGAATATTATCAGTTATCGATTGTGTTTATAAAAAAAAATATTGATGTCCAAAACAGTGAAACTGGATACTCACTCCGCTATAACCGTTTCGAACACTCAAACTTTTTTTAAACTGTAACAACTGTTCAACTAAACCTCGAATTTGTTCGGCAGTGGACTTATTCCGGCATTACTGCATTTCTGCACATTCTACATTCAGCAATAGTAGCCCACTTGGTAGTCAACTACGATCTCTTTCTTGAAAAAGATAGGATTGATCCTATGATCAAGTTTGCCGACCAAAACTATTATATCTCTCTACGAAAAGCTCTAACATAGATACTTTCCCTAATATACTTTCTTTTCTGACAAATACATACCTACGTATACGTTTATCAAATAGGAAAACTTTTTTTATTATCTTCAGTCTTTTTGCTCTAGCGTTTTCAATTCCGATTATATTTTCGCGCTATATAAACATTTTTTTATCTTTGTCCTTTAACCAACCTGCGTTGGATTGGAGTTCGAACACTTGTGTGGTGACCGGAGTTCATCACTATTATTTTGAATGCACTCCTATCTACTTGACCGTGAATTTACTCTTCACGTATTGTCAAATTTTATCGCGGTATCGCGTATCACCGGCTGCACGTTGACCCGTTTGATCATAACTAACCACCATCTGTCATTATCACATTGTGATGCTGTCGGAGGACAATGCCCAAAAATGTTTGGAGCAAAAATCCAGAATCGATTAAATATATGTGGCAAGGTTTAGGTACATAGTATATCCCAAATTCAATAATTGTTTTCGATAAAACCATCACCAAGTAATAAAAATGTGTCCAGTTTATAATGGACTCGCTTTGTATGATCTTGCCATAGATTTAACAGTCAGTTTATACTGGTTTTTTAACAGAATCATGTCTTATTATGGGGATGTATGTTTAATCTTGGAATATCTTATAGGTTTGGAAAGTTTGCATTTAATTCTCGTGAATGTAATTCCTTAACAAACAAAAGGAAGACAATTTTTCACGCGCCCTGCTAAAGAAAATTATGATGTTCTGCAGGCTGCTGACTCGTGCGGTTATGGTTTTGGCCAAATAATAGCGTATTTGTGATCTCTTACTAATTATGGTCTAAAATTAAATGGCGCACGAATGAATGATTTTAATCGACTCTAGGTTTTTGGGGATTATCCTTTACTATTTTTTTTTGTTGGTAATTTTATCTCACACTGGTTTTACGGGTGTCTATTTGCTTATAGCCATATTTAGTTTCTATCTCTGGCTGATCTTCGTCTACTAATTAGTCACTGAGTCACGCCTCTATCTTGCAGGGTCAGGCTAAGGTACATTTTCATACATTTTCTTATGTTCAAATTAAATAAAAAACGGGGTTCGATAATTATATCTGCGGCAAACGGCCCAAAATAATTACCTATCTTAATCTTTGGTTTAAGATCGATTTTAGACGTTCGTCCTATTGAGTTTCTCTCTAAAACTTAGTACTCAGTGCAAGTGTGTTAACAGGAATACGTTTGATAAGTAAGTACGATTTTTTACTTATCATACGTATTGCATGACTTACATTTGCAGATGCTGAATGATTATGGTCAGTTTCAGTATTCTAGTAACGAATGGAGTTTCTTGCTCGTTCTTCTCCATTCGAATCTACGTTTTGGAATGAGCACCTAGCTTCACCTAGCTTCACTGACGGACTGACTGACAGACTATTATTTATTTTGTATTTGTTGACGTTTCAAAAGTACCAAACTATGGTTTAATTGAAATAAATGCTTTGACTTTGACTTATTTTTGGTTTTTGAAATGAAAATTGGGCCCCAGGATTTGTAATGTTTTCCCAGCAATCAAATCATTGTATGCATATATTTATGACTTTTGCTTATCGCACATTGTAATTGAGGGTTACTATGGTTGCTAATCAAGTGCCCCTAGCAATATATACAGATCAATTAACACGTTTGGACCACACAAGTTATTATTTTTAAAATGACTATATTTTCTCTTTATCGTTCCTGTCTTTCTCGTTACTTTCTCCCTACGAGAATAAATATTCTCTAGGTCTTAGGTTCTTTAGGTCTTTTATTCATTATCACAATACGATTTCCTTCAAATTAAAAAAAATATTGTCGGCTTTACGACGACTACCATTTTAATGATATCACATATCGAAAAGAAATACCTTTTGAAATAAAAAGATCACAAAAAAATCGATTAAAAAATAAAAAAGTTGCTTAGCATAAACATACCATTGGGAAGTGCGAAACGATTGTAAGGTGGTGGTCCTTCCTGGCCAGCGCTTCGAGGAGCCGGCCGTACATGGCGTAGTGGCTCTTGGTGTTGGTGGGCAAGACGGCGAGCAGGCGAGCTGCCTCCGCCGACACCGCCCACACGAGGACCAGCCATAGGAGCCGCGGCCTCATCTCTGTGCTGCCCGTCTCGGTTTGCGGAGCCGTCTAGCCTGAAACCGCCGAACTCCCTACTGCTGATAAAGACATACGTCACCGCCGATAACAGTAGTCTCCGGCTTCTCCTATCCGCCACCCGCGCTCCCCGACTCAGCCCTCCCGCTAAGGAACTTTCTACAAGAAGTTTTCCAATATTCCTCATTGCTGCTTTGATTTCCGGCGAAATAGCCATCGTCAACTTCGGTTATTAGAATGCGTTGCAAATTTATTTTACTTCGATGTTTTAAATCAAGGTTATGATGCATTTTCAGTGCATTTACTACTAAATAATAGTGCGTGAGTGACGTGTGCATCAATTCCAGTGAACTTAACAATATTAGTTGCAATTTTTAGAGTTACTAAGCGTTTAACCAATTTCACCTTCATCCGTGACAAACGGTCTTTTCAACCGACTTCAAATCTCACATAAAGAAAAAGAAGAGGTTCTGAGATTGCCAGATTTCTTTTTTTCTCATTAGCCAAAACGGTATGTGTAACTGAAAAGTATGGATGTAGCTTCAAAGCACCAATATACACCAAAAATATTTTGATGGTTTCACCAAAAGTTTTCTGCAAAAGGAATACGTAGCAGTAAATTAGAAAACTGACACGGGCTGCTATTTCTGGAACCGACCATCGCATTCGCGGCCAGTACCTTTACTAAAGTTGAACCTCGACAGGTGCTTCTACCGTACGTATTACATCAATGTGTGCAAGTGCAATAGACTCTCCATTTACTAACTTCATTCATAACAAACGAAGCCAACAACCTAATGAAAAATCTAAATTATTGGATCATCACAAATACTGCTGCTGATCTACTGATCACAGTCACCAAAATTGGTACTATCTCATATTTTTTGTGATTTTGCATTAAATTATTTTTATGCATTATTGTGGAAATAAGAGGCAAATAGTTTATTATCATTAATTTATTATTGTGTTGTTTTTCGTACTAGCATGGTAGGTAAGCATGGGCATCAGAGTGCAAGAAGTGAACTTGCATGCCGTTAAGAAAACGATCATTAACTGAACTGAATTTATTGAACATTTTAGCCCTATGTAAAGCAATTTTTATTTGTTACAAGTACAATAACAAAGGAATTTGAGAGTGGTATTATCTAAAACAATATGACTGCGGGCACGGACGCATTACATAACCCAGACGCTAAGAACATTGCGTAGACCTTTAAAACTATAACTGAGACTTAGATATACCAAAAAACATAGCTATTATCTATCTTGCATATTAATTTATTAATTTTTCTTAAAATATTTTTTTTAAATGCCGGCAATGCGCCTATGACTCCACTGGTGTTGCTGGTGTCCATGGGCGGCGCTGATCGCTTACCATCAGGTTATCCGTCTCCTGGTTTGCCTCTTATTCCATAAAATAAGACGGTATGCACCCTAACTACAGAAAACATAGACTAGCTCTCCACCCGCGACTTCGCTCGCGTTGCTTTAAGTTAGCAGATCTCTCTAAGTAGGTCCCGACTTCCGATCTTGTAGGGATATCGATAAAAAAATATTATACATCTCTGAAAAGTAAACTTTCTAATGACACGTGTTTCAAATCAGTTCATTCCGACCCTATTGAAGGAGAACAAACAAACAATATTTCCTCTGTATTTAATTGATACATTTATTATTCTTATGTATAAGACTGATAGTGTCAATAACATTTGAAAGGCTCTGAAACCGCTTTTAACCAGATTGCCAGAAAGTTGTATGAAAAAATAAATTGTGCAACAAAATCAATGAGGTGGTACATGTTTTTGAGTTGTTAATTAACAATGTTATCGTACTCTGTAATCAATGCAACGCGTAGGTACATAACGTAGCTACATTCTAGTACCATCGTGGAGGAGGTCACAACGCGGATCAGCTATTGATGAGCTTCTTAAGAAATAATTAATGCGATCACTCGTTAATTGAGTGATTTCTTATATCTTACGTTTGTTACGTAGGTATCTATGCATTCGTATTAAAATGTAATGATTTATATTTTATTATGAATGATGTGATAAAAAAGTGGTACGACAATTTTCTATAAGCTTAAACTCCAGAGTAAAATATGATATGATATCCGAAATTTCTAAAATCTAATAGGAATACGGATAAAATAAGAAAATAGTGCATTTTTCATCCTTTATTTGAATACATAAAAAGACGTCTTGATTGTTGATGACTTAGTCACTTCCCTATTTTTCTTGCAATCTATGTATGAAGACTGCCTCGTTGGCCGAGTGGTCGCAAGTGCGACTGCCGGGCATGGGGTCTCGGGTTCCATTCCCGGGCAGGGGCAGGGCAAAGTATTACTGGGTTTTAAAAAAATTCTCAGTAGTAGCACGGAGTCTGGAATTGTGCCCGGTATATGGTATTAGGCTCACCCTTATTACAAGGGACTCATAACATAAATCGTGAAAAGTGGGTGTTACATTGTACAGTGGCATAATCTACACCTCTGCCTACCTCTTCGGGGATAAAAGTTATGTGTCTATGTAAATTAGACGGAAATCTAATAATAAACTTTGAACGGCCCTGTCCTCCCGAGATGTCACAGACAATACTGATAACAGTATGTCGATACGGCAATAGTTACAATTGTTTGTTTGGTTTGTTTTTTTTTTTAAAAAAAACGTTGCCCCACACTAGGGTTTTCTCCTGTGTCGTGGGTGCGTTACACAAACATACAAGTTCACATACACATCACACCCAGACCCGAAACAACAATTTGTGGATCACACAAAGTGTTGTTCCGTGCGGGAATCGAACCCGCGACACGTTGCACGGCAGCCGGTTGCCCAGCCACCGCACCAACCGTGCTGTCAATTAATTAATCTCTGAATTAGAGATAATCACACCTAAAGATAGTTGCTAATCCCCACGCGAACTTTCGTGTAACGCCTTCATGACTGATAACAGACACACCTCCGAGCATCAATCAGTACCTACGGAATGTACCGTGTTTAGATTAACTAAAAGACAAGATTTTACGATTACCGGGTGGTTAATAACCAATAGCAATTAAATTTTTTGGATTGCGAATTATTTAAGGAATTACCGTTAAAACCCAGATCTACCAGATCAGATTTTGGATTAAGATGTTGTATACGTACAAATATCTATTGTTCGCCAATCTGAATGGTTTGATTTACCTTTAGGTCTAACTCGAAATATACCTACTGTTTCTAATCTCCCCTATGCAGGAGGCAGTCGCTCCAGCCAGAAACAATTACTAGTGCCGGATCTATTTCGTCTACTATCGACTCCAATAATAGTCGTATAAGCCCAGACTTTTATGTCATACAATAAAAAAGGTCCGTTCTTTAGTAAAACTGTGTTTGTTCTTGTTTTAAAATTTCCTATTTTTCTTGTTCTAAAATAACCCGTAAACATAAGCAAAACAAGCCAGGAGCAAATGTTACTTGAAAATAGTGTAATGTAGTCAGTAAATTGTTTCAGTTACGAGGTGCAGGTGGAAGCCGAAGGTCGACGACGCGGCCTTGGGCAGCGCGTACTCAGTGTCCTTGAGAAGCTCGCTGACGCCACGCGCATGCGCTGCGTACGCCTCACTGCGCTCACGCACAATCCCTCCGCCTCTGCGTTTTTCAGAGCTTGCGGGTAAGAAACCTTGTATTTTTAACCGACTTTAAAAAAGAGGATTATCAATTTGACCTGTATGTATGAATGTATGTTTGTGCGCGATTATACTGCGATTAGGCGTGATTGACTGAACCTATTTTGACGCTGTTTTCAGAAAAGTGTTAGTGTGGAACACTTAGGAGCATGTAGCATATTAATTAACTAACGATAAAAAAGGTTTTTTTAGACGTTGCTCCACACTAGGATTTTCTCCTGTGTCGTGGGTGCGTTTACAAACATACAAGTTCACATACACATGACACAGACCCAAAACAACAATTTGTGGATCACACAAAGAGTTGCTCCGTGCGGGAATCGAACCCACGACACGTTGCGTGGCAGCCGGTTGCCCAGCCGCCGCACTAACCGTGTTGTCGTTGGTTTAAAGTTGGGGTTTTTTAAATTTAGTTTCTAAAAGTATTTTGACTGTCATGTTCAAAATATATAAAAAAGGATTTTATAAAGATCAGCAGCACGTGACAATGCTAAGCTGTGGGTCTCCTCATAACAGTATTTGTCATAATGTCAGATGATTTAGATAGTTTAAAAGGTTCATGTTTATCAGAAAGCGCTGTTTTCTGGTTTCTGTCAAAGAATCGGAGTCGCGACTGAAGTACTTATTCTAATCTACAGACTTAATTGAGATATCCAAAACAAATGACTTTAGTTTTCGGCTTACTCACGTAACTTCTTGATGAGGAACTCCACTAGTTTCAAGCCATGCTAGAGCTCATATTCATGAGCAGCATTCCGCGACCCGTGACGCGGCGACTGTCGCGCTGCTACCGTGTCAGTACAGTTACATTATTTACGCTCCTTAAACTAGGAATCTACACCTTTGAATGAGCAAATAGCTTCACTTTATTTTTTTTTATTGACGTGCATAAGTGCCTTTCTGGTCTAATTGAAATAAATGATTTTAACTTTAACTTTAAAAACCGTTACATGAGTAAGCCGAAAACATAATAATTGATAAGTATGTCTCACGAGAGTAATATAAACATAACAAATGACTAATACATTTTTCAGGTACAGTTTAGATGAAACGAGTCCGGGCCAAGACGAGGCAGCTCACTATGAGATCCTAAGCAAGTTGACTGAGAACCAACAAGATGGGGATGCGACACAGGAGAAATGTCCTCTTAGCGATGGCATGAAGGCCGTGCAAGTAGGCAATCCACAATGACCACAACTAGTCAACTAGAAACCTTAGTTCCATTTTCTTATAGATCTTAAGGGTCAATTTGTAATAGCAGAATCCAAATGTGATCGAAGCGTAAATCCAGTAGGGTAGATGACTAATTTTTATTTTAATGTCCGTCTGGTAGATTATTTTAAAACATTACTCTCGTATTTTTTATTTTTTACAGAAACGAATACTTTCGTCCATATAATTATTAGAAATGTGCGAGACGTCACTTCTATGTACATTTTATACGTAGAAATGACGTTTTAGCCCCCACTCCTAAACTTTGATTCGTTATATCATTTTATTATACGACAAAATAAAATATACATGTCTAATATTTTTTCATTACCTAACTGACGGACTAATTAGATTTTTAATTTTCATACCCTGTCATCATCCCTATTGTGAATGTACCACTCTACGCTTCCAAGGAGATGGAATCTGTCTTTTAATTTAGCATAGGAATACAAACTGCATTGCCCAGCCTTAAAATTAAGTTTCCAATGACTTACAAGTAAATCTTTCGAATAATTGGGTTATTCCAATCATAAACCTATTTACAAAAGTAAATCTTTCGAATAATTGGGTTATTCCAATCATAAACCTATTTACAAAACCATAAAGTTCATATTTGTGTACATAAATTGAAACAGGACAACGAAAGAAAGTAAATTCATTTTAGCTGCTATTGAATAAATTATGGTCATGAATTAATATGAGACTGTTGATCAGTTATTTGAACCTAAGCAATAATTTCATTATGAATAACACATTATTAAAATAAGTATTGTTGTAACAATAAATATGTTGATCTATGTCTCGCTACAAAGTATATATATTTGATGATAATATACTTAATGGTAAATTATTTGTAGCTAGCAAATACAAAAACGATCGTAACGAAAATAAAATATTGTGAAAATTATATTTTTTAGTACTCAAAATATTGAGTAAGTTCTTTCATAGCATATTCCATATCAGGCAATTACATAAAATAGTTTAATAATTTGACAAACTTTAAATAAGCATTTAAAAATAAGCTTATTAGGTGGATATAATTGAAGTTGACTTACATATATACAGATGTTGCTGGAGAATAGGAAAGGATACAGTTAGTTATTTTTAATGTTTCATCACAAAAAAATCAATATTATATTTTAAACGTACGTATGTAAGTAGATGTAATGTAGCCCCATACTGTTTGCGCATTTGTTACGCAAGTAGTTTGCGCAGTCTTGCGCAAGCAGTTTGCGCAGTCTTGCGCAAAAATCCTGAATATCGCAGTGAATGGTAGTAGAAGAGTAAAATGTACAAGAATTGTAACACCATGTTTGTATTTCTAACGAAGTGTAGACAGATCTGTTGTCATACTTTAGCTTTCGTTTTAAAATAATAACTGTATTGCGTTCAAAAATCAATCTTAACGTTTACTTTATTAATGCGTTCACTGCCAACGCGATCAATGACGACCAACAGCGAAGGAATAGAGTTCATCAGGTTTTTTTTTCGACTAAAATCTATGAAAACTAAATAGTTACAATTTCACCAAAGAACTAATCAACTGTAAAGGGTCTTAGATAAACATGTTTCCAAGAGTCGCTTACTTTGGTCATCATTAGATCTTGAACGCTTCATTATGAATTTAATCTCACTCCAGAAGATAATTATGCATATCTCAATATACTATTAATTATTATTAGATTGCATGTCGATGTTCAAGAATCATGTTGACTTACATTAATTGATATTCTACAAAGTGTAATATACTAATCAAGTCTGCTATTACACAAGATGAATAGACGTTCAGACGAAAGATCGCAAGAAGCCGCTGGATGTAGTAGATAGCTTCAAATTGATCGATCTGGAAGTCTTTGGGGTAAGCCTAGCGGTGTACGCCTTGTGGCTAATATAATGATGATATCGACTATTGTTGGTTTAAGATGTAATAACGATTACTCAGAAAAATATATGCCCCTTAAGGGCAAAAGGGGGTGTACCGTTTTTTGCTCAACAGATGGCGCAAATGTAGGAAAAGGCTTTTTATGTCCAATCAGATCATCTGTCAAATATTGCACGTCCAATGGTGGGACATAAGCTATTTCCCTATTGGACGAAGAACGAGAGGTTCACTCTTGTCTCAAGAGAAAGTTGAGAAATACAAATAAGATGTTTATACCTTTGATGACCTGAAAATAAACTTAAAGTAGGAACTTAATTATGTACTTAGATATAAGAATTGTGACGTAATTAACTCAAACTAATCTCCGCCCTAAACAGACACGCTACAACGACGATAATAATAATTATTATTGTTATTAAAAATTTATTGTTTAAGTGCTGAGATTGTTAATTTTATACAAATATTTTGAGCAATACAAACGTTTTTGTGAATTTCTGTTGTTTTAATTCTCTTTTTAGCAATACGGTTACCATTTTGGATTGTATTAGTCGAATCCAATCCAATCGAAGTAGTAGACAGTAGACAGTGTACGTACAACGTGTAATGTACGTCGTTGTAACTAAATTACCGTTAAACCTACTCACTATTATTAGACATTAATTTTAATTATTGTTTTATTCAATTTTAATTACCTTCACAATAAAAATGCTAAAATAAAATCTTTATAAATTATATTCAAATTGTTCATAATCATGTCATGGGTATCACAGTTAATTTGACAATAAATCATAATTATTTCTTTATTCTAATGACAAGACACTTTGCACCTTATTTAGTCTTCAATAGTTTCAATATCCAATGGCTCATCTGTTTTTTCTTCGTCTGTTGATACGCTCCAGGATGAAACGCTTAAATCACTTGCGTCTCTTTCATACAATCGTGTTCTGTCTCTATCGTTCTGTCCAAGAGCTATGTTGAAGGGAATACTAGATGCGTCATTTGATGTCCAGGAACATGGAGTTATAATTGAGACGTGAGCTGAGGTGGTAGGTGGAAGGGTCACAGACATTGGAGGTGCGATGTTGCCACATTTCTCTCTTCGCTCCCTTGCACGACGGTTTTGGAACCAAATCTTTATCTGAGGACAACATTTTAAGTTAAGGAATAAATATGCCTATGAAGTATCAACTGAACTTCCTTGACAATAGGTTTGAGAACGGTATCTGTTACCTGGATGATGCTATGATACAAAATAAAATAGGTTTTTCTTATAGGAGTAATATTAAACGAGAATGGAGTAGGTACCTACCCGTACGCTAGGTATTTGCATACAATAGCGTGTGACCGCTCTGACATAACATCGTCGTTCCCAGGTTTATCTGATTAATGCTGACTTTAATTTGGATATTCACAGTGAGAATTAACTTTTATTACGCATACCTAAGTAAGATCAACAGGTCAATGACCTATTATTATTACCTACCTATTTAAAAATATTTAGGCATGATGTTAAGTTCTGAATAAAATAAAATTGAATGGATACAGGATACAGAACATTTAGAAATAAATACCACTGGACCAATAATTCAGAAGCCTGTTTTTAAATTAAGTAATTAATAAACAAGCTACTTATTCGTCCCTTCAAAGCCTGCTTGTGCCCAATTCCTAATAAAACTAGCTATCCGTATTCCCTCACCCACAAAAGTAATTCTTCTCGACTTTTCCGCAATAACTGTTTATACAAACATCGACAACACTGGTAAAATAATACTTACCTACCTATTCCGGAAAACTTAAGTTTGACAAATTGATTGCACTCACTCTATCGTCACGTAACTGCAAGGCTGCGGCGAGTGCACGCAAGGCCGGGGGCGCTAGGTACGGAGCGCGCGCATACGCGGCCTCCAGCGCCGCCGCCTGCGCCGCCGTGAAGGGCACCCGAGCGTGCCGACCCGACCGTCTCGCGCGACCACCGCCACTGCTCACTGCACCTGTTGCAAAAAACAGCCGGAGTCAAATCAGGAAGTTGGTAACTAGTACTTGGGCTACAACTATGTATGCATCTCACAATAGTACCGTCATAGTCGGTCATAGGTAGTGGCGCGACGTTACTGTCCAAAATCCTTATGACATTGAAAAAACTCTAAGTGAAAGAGTTGCACATTTACCCAGTTGCGTGAGTTTTAGGCTAATGTTCTGTAGGAGATTGTGAAGAGGACAATACTTAGGTATATTGTAGTCTTCACAATCTTGTTCGTCATTGGTGGAGGTCAGTAGGTCATGACCAGCTCCATGGTGGGTTAGGTACACCATTTTAAGGACAGCCTAATTTTATTCTAAGTCGTACAGCCTAATAGTACCTCTAAAAAATTGCAGCAGCACTTTTTTTAGCTCACTAAGCCTGGGATTTCTGGGACTCCTTAAGTCGTTACAAGGCGATTTATGGTGTAAAATTAACACAATATTTTAAAATGTACCTAACTGATGAATCATAAGAAATATACATCTTCTGTCCGTTATTATATTGTTAGTAACTTAGCTTTCTACTACCATATTACGCTGACTAAAGGTCCCTGAAGAGGCTGATGTAGTTGGTTCAAATGTGGTAGTTGCGCAAATGTGTTAGCGTACCGCTAATTTGTTGATTTTCCGTAATAGGAACCTTAACTTGCAATCTGCTAATAACGTATGTATCTATAGCCACCGCATACGTTTGAATTCAGTAATAGCAGCAGATATATAAAATTAAGGAGTACCGTAATTAATAAGACTAATTGAAGCGAGCTAAACCCATCGTATGCCGGACATAGACACAATAGAAAACACGTTCTGTCTCGCAGTCTCGCATATAGATATTTGCGAGACAGAACGTGTCTCATATCTCTTATTTAAGAGGTTAAAAGTAAATAAAAACAACACATACATAAATAGCCTACGTAGGTACGAATTAAAAGTACCGATTCTCATTCGTAGTCCCAAATTACCTTTCAAAAACCTTGAGATATAAACAGAACTGACATTGATTGATTTGATGCTAATATTATTTTTCTCAATTCCTACTTCCTATTTTAAGCAATGCATTGTGAAAAAATGGTTATTCATTCGATCGGTCTCTATTGAATGGTAATTCTTTATCTCTCATTATAAACTGCAAAAGTGATTTAATAAACTTAGGTAATCACTTCAGATCCAGAACAATCTCTTGCAAATACTGATTATATTAGTTTAAATAATGAGTATATTAGTTCTTACGTGGTAACCGAGGCGGTCTGTACCGGGTGCAGCACAACCAATCTGGAACTTCCACATTTTCTGATCGCTTGCTGTCACTACTCAAAATCCGTTCTATACTAAAATCAGAGCCACACTTAGCACTCGACTGTACCGGTGAATCCATGACCAGCGGTCACCGAGACTTCAACATTCAGAATACAACTGAAAGATAATCTATTATCTGCTACCCTTAAAATATACCCTGGATAATAGGAGGAGGAGTTTTGTTAAGCCACGCCTAAAAATTTAGGGATGGGATTTGGATGGATGGGACGGATTTTGGATTTTGGGATTGTTATCAGCAACCGCATCTTTGGTCCCTGGTCCCTGAGGGTCGTACGCACCAATGAGCCGACGAGTGTTGTGACGTCCGTCCATTCATACGTCCCGCAAATTGAATGGTAAAAAGATACTGTTTGCACACAAAAGGATGATATTACTTTAAGGGTTTGTGGGAAAATTAATTTGTATTTCTATTATATCGCCTTTGTTGCAGATTAATCGGTTTGTAATATGATATGTTATGTAATAGCTTATTAAAATTAAATAAGGACTGTGAATAGGAACCTACATCGTTTCATTTTCGATTTATGATGAAATTGGAAACACTCGCCATGTGTTGTTATTATGATTAGAAGATTAGAATTGAATCAATTATGTGATGTATCGATTTGTAATTTTAACATTAATTAATGCTAAAACCTTTCGTTTAAATAGTATCCATAGGTCTTCTCTGCCGTGAATATTCCGCTGTAAGGTAAATATCTCCCGAAGATGTAAAAAAAGAAAGTAGGTACAAAACCATAGTTTACCCACATTATGTCGTAAACATGGCATTTTGTAATTGTTACCGTTGCAATCAATAGAAGTGTAACAATAACAACCGACCCTAACGTCTGTTGAGATAATTGAGAGCAACAATTATCTACAAATTGCGATTTACATTGTGATAAAGTACGTTGACAGTGCGGTACGCAACCGCTCAAGTACCACATTATATTATTGTCAAACATTGAATCGTAATAGAATTGTATAATGCAATAAATTATCTGCCACTTGTCAACAAACAACAAGGATTTGTGAAAGATTCACCGTGTCGATAACGATGTTATTAAACGCAGATGTAAGTTAATCTTGTTTTGAAATCGGTGTAGGAAAAAGGATGTAATAGCTGTCTCTTTCATTTACTTATTTCGAATGCAACTTAACAATTAAAAAGCCAAAGAATAAGAAATATAAAGTAAAAACATCTGATATATTCAAAAGCAAAAAGGAGCAAAGCATTTTGCCTACTTTAATGATTACCAGAACCGGCGCTTTTGCCTAAACAAATAACCTTATAAGTAACTAACTAAAATGAACATTTGCTATTACTAACCATCCACATTATGCACAAGAAAGTGCCGAGTAGTTATAATAAGGAGACGATTACTTTAAGTAAAAAAGAGCGTGTGAATAAAATAGTTAAATGAAACATAAAAATAACAATAGTTGAAATTAACGCCCTGCTTCACAGAGGTAGCAAAAATGAATACAAAGTGAGGCAGCGCTAAGTCTACTGTTTACCGGACGAAAGCCTACTCTATGGTAAACCGGTAACCGGCGCGTGCAGGCCAGCGACTCTATGAGGTAATCAAGGTTGCTTACGACCCAAACCACGACACCGGCTCCGCTCACTCGCATTGTGAATTCACTCTCGGCGGTATCAACACAAGATAAACAAACAAACAATTGCAATATTCACAAACTTGAGCTCAAACTCAGTTACAATTATGTCCATACCTGACTACTTTCAACTGGAGGGCGGTGACCGCATGCCGCGAATTGGATTCGGCACTTGGCAAGTAAGTTTGACATCAAATATGAATTTGATGTTATTTATTTTATACTAAAACAACCCATAGTTAGACAACTATTATATTTGGTGCTGTCTTCTGCCAAAGGGTTACAAACTACAAAATATAAGTAATAAATAAATTAAATACAATTTTGATATCGCAATACGTCTCTATAAATCATGTTCATGGTTCATTTGTGAGATATTAAGTTTTTGTTCCTAGGTAAAACACCGCTGTAGCAAAAACAGGTGTATAAGTCAATAGTTGCGATCAGTATATTATGAATCTTCTGTTTCTTTATCGCAATCTTCAATGTTTTCGTGCCGACTTTCCTTATTCTTAGTTTTAAGATATTTTTTATATTTTCTCTTTTTAAGAAAATTTAAGTACTTTCTGAATATATTCCATTTGTTACGACGTAGTTGTGTACTTGAGGAGCGTATGACGCAGGGCACCTCGCTGTACTCTTGGAAATACATGTTATGTGAATCACATGAGCACTTGTTGCTAGAAAACGATATCGACTCGCTGCCCTCGAAGTCTCCGCTGGAGTGCGACAGCCCCCTCGACGTGGAGGCACGACAAGGGCTAGTCTCGTTAGTCCACTTTTCTGGAACTTGTTCAGTATTTAAACATAGTTCTGAAGGTTTAGAAGTCATAACAGAAGGTCTACAAAAGTCACTGTGGTCATGTCCACCAAACGTTGATTAGCCATTTGGTGGCACGGTTAGTTTACACATTCTTATTTGGGAACGAACAATTTGGCCAAAACTTGTATCGAAAACCAGTTATCGGAAATAAATTTTAAGAGGAATTGAAAGTGAATTTTGACAAACCTTAAAATGTCAATGAACCTTGACAGTAAGTAGTTGATAAGAAAAATGAGGAAGCGACGCGTGACGGGTGGTGACGGGCAAAGAGACCGATAGTAGAGAAACTATTCATTTCATGCATGACTCTATCATTTAGGAAAAATAGGTAGATACCTTAAACAAATACAAACTTTACAGGCTGCGGACGATGTTTTGGAGAAAGCAGTGGACGCTGCTCTGGAAGCAGGATACCGGCACTTCGATACAGCACGAGCCTATGAGAACGAGGCAGCACTCGGGCGTGCCTTGAATCGCTGGATCGGAGGTGATCCCGAGCGGAGAAAGCAGTTGTTCATTGTAACCAAGTTACCGCCGGGAGGTAAGCTTAAATATTATCTATCTATTATATAGCCTATAAAAACCACATAAAAACCCACTGCTGAGTAAAGACTCTTCTCACACGGAGAAGGTTTGAGCATTAATCACCACGCTTACTCAATGCGGGTTAGCAATCACAAACTTATAATTAGAAATTATAAGTCCAGGTTTCCTCCCGATGTTTTCCTTCACCGTTTGTCAGTGGTGTGTAAATAATCTTTATAAAGTACATATTACTCGGAAAAAATCACATTGGTACTTGCCGTTGGTAGGTTTCGAACCCGCACTCTCATGCATAAGAAGCGGGAGTCGTAAATCTCCGGGCCATCGCGACTGCTATTAGCCCTTGACGACTGTCAACTCTAATCTGCTGGATTATGAGCCTCCTCAAAATGGGAAGCGATTGCCATAACTTCAAGGCTTGGCTGGTGGATTGGATTCGATTAGTTCAAAAGATTCAGATTTAGGAGTGCTGCTGCCCAATCTCTGTTAAATGTAGAGGGCCTTAGTCGATTCTTACAAAACCCGTGGGCACAGTATGGGTGGTAACTATTTTACAATGCCATCACAGTCACCCAGCTCCATATTAGACTACGCTTTTATTTTGAGGGAAAAATCATCCAATTACTTCTTCCGCCTGGGTGGGCTGTGAGGGAGTCTCAGATTCTTACTGACTAAAAACGAAGCTAAGAACGGGGTGGCCATTCCTACTCCTGCACTCCGAGCCGAAACTGCGGCAACCCGTTAGGTCTTCCGCGGCTCCGTATCGGCATCAGCCCTATTGGGCCCCATCTGTGGTGGTCTGATGGCTCCTTGAGCACACAACTGTTCCGGGCCGTTTTGAATGTTTCTTTTTTTAACGTTTCCCTACACTAAGATTTTCTCCTGTACCGTGGGTGTATTTACAAACATACAAGTTCACATACACATGACACCCAGACCCGAAACAACAATTTGTGGATCACACACAGATTTCTTCCGTGCGGGAATCGAAACCTCTACACGTTGCCGGTCCTTCCGGCAAATTGTCAGTCCTTCGGGGCCTCCTGAGGACTTGGGCTTTGGGCACAGGCCCCGAGTACCCTTATGGTAAAGACGGTTACCGTCACCTTACGGCCAGCAGTTATATATTCACCCGATGTGTAGAGTTGTAGTGTATTGTGCCTCATCCATCCCCAAATAAAACTAAAAGAGGTCTCCTAGTTTTTAAATACTACATCAAACAAACTTGATTTGTAGCTGGGTATAATAAGTTATATTTTTTGGGTCCTCTATAAACTAGGCACGTAGCTTCTATTGGAAAAAATCACATAAGAACAACAAAATGATTTAGTAATTAAATTCTACACCTCGATAGTTAATAAAATCAATTAACATTCCTACTAAAATTGGCGTTGGCTTTCATGGTCATCATACTTGAGTACGTCTAGGTATCTCGTACAATATGGCCTGTTATTTATTCTCGCCAACTAGTCAAATTCAACACATTTTTATGTCAGTTTTCCAAGTATTTTCTACGACATTACACTCTGTAAATGTTAAATCGATTTTGTTAATATTATAGATACTCATCTTACTAATATTTTATGCGAAAATTTGTCTGTTTGTGTGTACGTTTGTTACTCAGTCACGTCAAAACGGATCTGGATGAAATTTGGAAATGGGTAGAATATGGTCTGGAACTGGAATAACACACAGGCTATTTTTTATCCTGCGGTAACGCGGGCGAAGTCGCTGGCAGGAGCTAGTTCCTTCTATATCAAGAAAAATAATTAAATTATACTTGAAGTTAAATCAGTTCATGAGATTGTTGATATACCTATTTAAAAATATTTTTTTTTATAATTTTAAAAAAGGTTGCCCACACTAGGATTGTCTCCAGTATCGTGTTATCGCGTTTACAAACATACAAATTCACGTACACATGACACGCAGACCCGGAACAACAATCTGTGGATCACACAAAGAGTAGCTCCGTGTGGAAGTCGAACCCGCGACACGTTGTGCGGCAGCCAGTTGCCCAGCTACCGTATTAAACGGGCGTCAAATATACTGTTATAGTGGAAATAGTTTATTTTTGATTGAGAAACAACTCTAATAGAATGTGGCTTTAGCATCGTAAATTGAATCGAATCTTGCACGAAAGTCAAATGGTCCCAAACACGACTGTTAAAGACGAAGTCTCTAGTCCCATTCTGCGCTACTGGGTTTTCCAATATCAAAATGTATGTAAGATATAAATATAGAAAGATAAAATAACACGCAGTTGATAATTTTGTTCGGTGTTTGTTAATAAGTGTTTAAGCATGTACTAGTTTAACCTAAGCCATAAGTATATTGTCATTTTGCAAACGGCTTATTATTTACTTAGTTTACATTGACACGGAGTAGGCAAATAAAAGTAAAGAGTAAGGGAAAGAATTAAAAAGTAACACTATCTAAATATTAACTATTTTTAACTCTCCACACAGGAAACAGTCCAGAACGAGTACAGGAGTACTTTGACGCGTCACTTCAGGATCTTAACCTTGAATACGTGGACCTGTACCTTATCCACACTCCCTTCGCGTTTGAGCATGTACCAGGAGACTTACATCCCAAGAACCCGGATGGTAGCATGAAGGTCGATCATTCTACCAACCTGCTTGAACTATGGAAGGTAATAACCTATTTATAAAGGTAACCTCAAAGGAAAGTGACTGCGACATATTTTGTGACAACTTTTTGTAACTTCTAATGTCAAGACATTCTCTTTGGTCAACATCACGTCAACTCATCATGGCCTTCACTTGAAAGAAACAGTTGCACAGTTTAGATAAATTTAATGAGTATACCCACATCTAAATTAATATTATATTTATTCGTGTTTTTCATTTTAAGCGAATTTGCCCAGAAAACGGCAAACATGGGGGTTTCGTACACAGACAATGACGCCACATGTCCTAACAAAGAAGGACATGGCGAAAATGTGAACGAAGTTAAAATGAATTCAATATACCGCAATACTGAAATATATAAGGAATGCAGCTATCAACTTCCTTCAATTCATTTCTTCAAGACCAAGAAAAAGAACCCTTTGTCCAATGCCAAACTCGAAGCGCAAATAAATAGAGAATTTGCCGAGTGTAAACAAAGTTTCAATTCACAAAACTATTGGTCAAAGGTTTATCATTCACCCATCACAGATAGACAGTGCAAGGTTAAGCAAGTTGAACAAAATACTAATAGCAAGCAGTCATCAGACATTCAGCTCGATACTAATCAATTAGAATGCCTCCAAAATGACACAAACATCCAAGCCTGTCACATCGTTCCTACTGAAAATGTAAGCACGTCCATGACTTCGTTTCTTAAGCCGAGACAATCAGTAAAGGCAAGAGTGAAGGGATGGTACAAAACGGCTGTCCCAAAAATGTTGTGCCCGTGCTGCACTGGCGGGGACGACAACCTGGCCCCGTACTGCGCTCACAGTGCCGCCGGCTCTTATGAAAGCATAGACTTGAAGTTCTCCAACAATGCGCTACGCTCTTTAGACTTGGACGCATCTCTTATGAGCATCATACATATGCATAGAAGTTGTAAACAGAAGAGAACACCTAAAGATTATGCAAAAATATTAAGTGCTGTACTTAATAATACCTACAAAAATGCCATTTATTGGATAAGCTCGATAAAACAGTAATTATGAACTTTTGAGTATGGTTATGGAAAGGCTTTATTACTTACGTCATAGAAGTAAAAATGATGACAGCTGAAAGATTTTATTTTGTCAAAAATGACATTATATCCACAATATCAAGTGCTACGTTTTTGTATTTTGAATTGAAAGTATTGCTGAATTGTTTTGTAAAATTCATTGCAGCTATGGTTGATCTGCAAGAAATTGAAAGATGCCATTAAACACTATCACCAAAATGCCTACATAGCAGGCAAAACGATATTTTAATGAATTGGTAAGAAAGAGAAGAAACGTACGTGGCGCTGTTGCTTGTGAGAAGATATCACTATTTAAAGATTACTTTTAGGCCATGTGTTTTAGTCTATATAAAAAGAAAAAGGACTATGACAATGCAAGGGACCACTTAAAAACTGATAGCACGAATGCTAAGAAAGTGCAGGGAAAAGTTCCGAAATCTGCCAATGCGGCCATTTACCCACGAGGGCAAATTATACGTATAACGCGAGAACCTAACACTCCACACACGCCTAGTAGACCACTTGTTTCAAATGCGCAACGACCTAAAGTGTCACAACCAAATGTGCCACGAGCAAACACGTCGAATATATCACGAGGAAATACGCCGAATACGTCACGAGGTAATGTGCTGAATGCGTGACAACCAAATGCACCGAATGTACCTCGAACAAATGTACCGAATGTGCCACGGGCAAACTCATCGAATATATCACGAGGTAACACGCCGAATATGTCGCGAGGAAATGTGCCACAACCAAATGTACCGAATGTGCCACAAGCAAACACACCGAATGTGTCAAGAGGAAACACGTCGAATATGCCACGAGGAAACGTACCAAACGTACCAGAACCAAATAGGCCAAATGTGCCTAGAAACGTAAAGCGAAGAATATTCAGAAATACGTCTGACAATGGAATTGACGTATTTCAAACTAATGTTTGTTACTATACTAAAACTGGCACAAATATAACCAGGTATAAAATGAACTCTAATGACGTTATTCGAACAGGCAATTTCATAAAAAATCAAGGGAAATGTGAACCATCGCTGCAATGTATTTACTTACACGAAGAGCATCCACTGCAGACGCCCAGTGACTACAACAAACTATATATCCCTAACACACGGACCTTTGGTCAGTGCTATGCTGCTCCTTTAAAACTAGAAACTATACAAAAAGCCAAACCATCTAGAGGCATATTCACCACATTATTTTTCTGTTGTTTAGGAGACAAAAGTCAAGGAGCTAACCTACCTAGCACTATACCAGTTGCACACTCTCAGAAGGATGTACACGTAATAAACTCTTTTAACTGTGACTCATACGACTTCGGGTGCCAGTATAGTTTGAAATCTACACACAGTCTTGAAATTATCTCTCAGATGTTGACCAGATCATACTCCAACATGTCGTCTACTGAAAGTGATGACAGTGCTAGGAACCGCTTCCGTAAAAATAAGAAACGTCGCAGTGATTTATTTGTAATGATGTATACATTAGCACGAAAAATTAAGGATAAAAATTCTAAATTTCCGATAAGGAAAAAGAAGAACAATGTAGTCGTACTGAGAGTACCCAAACAATTCAGCAATGCCTCAAATACAGGAAGTCTATCAAAAACACCCACTTGCACGAAACTGGAAAAACCTTTAACGATTAGAGATGAATCTTCGCATGAACAAATCAGTTACAATTGTGTCAGTTCACGAAATAAAATATGGGGGCCAGGAGAAGTTCTTCTAAAGAAACCCTAAAGTAATTAAATTAAGTCTGTTAATTAATCAATCGGTAAGCAAGAAATTCAACGTGTTTGATATCTCGTCCTAAATATAAATACATAGGTATACATAGGTTTTATATTGGAAAGTTTTCCTTACAGACATTGCTGAAATTAAAGGAATCTGGTCGTGTTCGCCACGTCGGGGTGTCCAACTTGAACGCAGAGCAGCTAGCGCGCGTGTGTAGCGTGCAGCGCCCCGCGTGTCTGCAGGTGGAAGTGCACGCTCTATGCCAGCAGCCGGCGTTGCTCGCCGCTGCCAACAAGCTCGGTGTGCCCATAGTAGCCTACTCACCCCTTGGATCTAAAGCACTAGCTGACGCTTTGGCTGCTAAAACAGGGTAAGTTCTTAATCAACTAATGGGCATAACCTGGATAAAGTTTGATAAATTGGTACCGTGGTAGACTTTCGTAATTTTCGCTAAATATTGTATCTCCACAGACGAGAGTATCCTGACCTTCTGCAGTTGCCGGTGGTAACGCGCATTGCGCAGGTGCACGGGCGCACTCCCGCGCAAGTTCTTCTGCGATTCACTCTTCAACGGGGCCTTGCCGCCATTCCCAAAAGCACGAACCCTGCCCGCATCAAACAGGTAATTCCTTTAGTTTCTACTCTAATAAAGGTATACCTACATATATAACACCTTTAACTATTTACATAGGTATACTCAGATCAAGAACCAATTTAAACTGTCAAACACCAAGCGGTCACCGGTGACCGCAACCTATTGTTCTATAATTGTGTCTACAAAACCGGTACTCGACGAGTTAAGTCATGGCGCCGCTATGCCAAGGCTTTGTAGGCAGTACAAACTATTATCAAAGACATCGAAACTAAACATCTGCGAGTCTCTTTCCAGGCTTCGAAGACGATTGGAAAATTTAATTTTGGATTGTTGATGTCCCGTTAGCTTTTAATTCATTAATTTCATTAAATTATTGTCTTGCGTTCTCAATTTTTTTTTTATTATGTAAGCAATTTGTTGTATTACTGTTTCATGTAGGTAATATGTATGTTTTTTATTCTTGTCAACCACTACATGTCGTCTTCCATCTGTACACAAATAGATACTTTAATTTTTGTTATTAACTTAGACGATAAATTAATAAAGTACATACCTACTGTGATTTCCTTTAATTAAAATATTGTCTGATTTTCATGACAATATGTTGCGCACATCTTTTGTTGGAGGTCGTATTGAAATAAATAACAATACAATTATTTTGCTCTACAGAACATCGCATTGTGGGACTTTGAGTTGAGTGAATCAGAATTGAGTGAGTTGGGCGCACTCGACAGAGGAGAGGACGGACGCATCTGTGATTTCGCATTCTTCCCTGGCGTCGAAAAACATCCCGAGTTTCCATTCAAAAAATGAATTATTTTTTAATTGTAACTTAACTAATCATACTGGAATTATATAGAATCCTAATAAATATCAAGTCTCAAAAGTTACGTATGTATTATTATACCATTTAGATGTTTACGCTGAATTGCATATCCATATTAGTAGAATATTTATTACGCCTACGTTGGTTCGCGATGTTTTACGGAAACCGGCAAACTAGGCCAGGTCCAGACAAGAGAGAAAGACCTAAGAACTCCTGGTTTGATATCCTGCTCGACAGTATACGTTGAAACGATGCGGCCTATTTACTACGTTTTGCTTGTTTTTAGTTATTAAGTCAGTTATATTTGTTTATTAATACTTAGTAGGTTTTTGTCTCTTTCTATTTAACTCAAATTAAAATGGAGGATACACAACACTTTATTTTAGGGACCTCTGGGTATTATTACATATTTATTCAACAATAGCTTATTTCATACAACAACAGCATTAATATTCATCATCAAGAATAACATCGTCACGAACATACAACATTATTTTTAATGTTACATTCATTTACATTATAATTATAAATCGAATATATAACTTGAGTGTCCTAGTAATGTCAATATACCATAAATACATAATCAAATAAATATTGCATAAGAAGTCGAAGCAGCAGAGAAGAATGTTTGTTCGTCTCGGCACGAATGGGCCGGCTCGACCGAAGTAATACCACGGCATCACAGAAAACCGACGTGAAACAACGCCTGCGTTATGTTTCGTGGCGTGAGTGAGGTTTCCGGAGGCCCAATTACCTTCCCTCCCCAGTCTCCCCAATCCCCGAATCCCCCACAATCCTCGAATTCCCAATTCTCAAAAGGCCGGTAACGCACTTGTAACGCATAGGTGTTTCAGGTGTCCATAGGCGGCGCCGATTGCTTACCATCAGGTGATTCGTCTGCTCGTTTACAGACTATACCATTAAAAAAACTTATATTATTCATTAAATTAATTATTTAATTAAAAACATTTAAATTTAATGAAAATTCGTTATTAAACAGTTGAATGAGTTAAGAACATTGGACAAAAAAAAATATCGCCAGTTTTATGACGTTGAAAACATGACCTTTGCTCGCGTATTCAAATTGGCGTGATGAAAGCAAAGGAAATTAAACTCTATATTCAAAATATTCACTATATTTTGTCTATTTTTACATTTACTCAATAGTTCCGTATTCTGTGTGTGTGACTTTCAATTTTCAAGCCAATAAAAAACATGCTATTTATAAAATGGCATTTCTATAAAATGAATATCTTTTTCAATGTGTTTGGATATTCTAAAAAGAAAAATATTATACGTCTATTTTTATTTGTTTTTTTTTTATTTAAAATACTGTTCCAGTATATATGTCCAACTTTATTTTTCCATTAGTTATACATGTCACTGATGATCATCTTTACTCTTCCTTGCACAGAATAACAAAGATGTATAGACCAGACTATTGCATCATTGTCATTCATATAGGTATCACTCAAACTATGTCTTCAGTTCGCTTTTCCAATCCCACACTTAATTATTGGGCATTAAATTAACTAAACTCATTTATCTTACTTAGAGAACACAACAAAAGGCAGGCAAGAAGGTTAACATAAATAAAAATTACATAAAGAAAAATAATTAATAATATTTAATCGACAAACAAAGCAGGGTATTGAAGGCAGTCTACAAAATCGGCAACGATTAACATGCAAACAGTTTAGAATTCGAACAATATTTAAATTAATGTAAGCATTGCTGTAAACAGGCGTCCCGTTTACCGGCTAAAGTGACATGTCACGCTGAGGCCCCGCCGTAGTACAATGTACCATAAGTAGCCGGGAGGCCGTGTCCATGATTAGTGCTTACTATATTCATTAGAAATTATGTCTGTCATTTTAAAGGGTGCAGTGAAATTATATTACTATTTAAATGAAGATATTGCAGGTATTTAACAATCTAATTGGATATTATTGTTAGTTTTTTGATAACATTACATAACATCACGCCTTTTATCCTCGAAGGGGTAGGCAGAGGTGCACATTACGACACTTAATGCCACTATACTATTTAACAGCCAATTTTCACTATTTATGTTATGAGTCCCATGTGGTGAGCCTATTACCAAATACCGGGCACAATTCCAGACTCCGGGCTACTACTGACATTTTTTTTAAAACCCAGTAGTACTCGGCCAACGGGGCAGTCATAGTTTTTTTATGATTTTTGAAAATAGATTGATTATAATTATGATAAATTAATATTGTGCTATGTGAATTAACAGATACAGACTCTGACCACCATGCTAATCTTTAACGCAGTTAAGCGAGTCAGGAATTACACAAATCTGATGCAATATATAAGTAGAATAGTGCCTTCCTAAGTTTCCAAACTCAATCTGTCTTAGTTTTGAGTTATGACGTATCTAAGCGCGGGCAATGGTATGCCGTTGCTTACGACCTCGCAGAAAAGCAAGAAGAGGCCTCAACAATGTGCACCCTAAGCTACTTCTTTCCATTACTCGGCTAGCTAGCTTTATTATATAACTTTAAACCACGCTTCACGTGACGTCACTGAAATCAGGTGATAATTCTCTTACACCATATTTCTTCATCAAGACCCCAGAACACAAGATTGGTTCCTGATAAGGACACCATGGCCAGGCCTGTTTATAATGCTGCTGTACCTAGCAACAATCTTCCAATGGCTTCCCGACTACATGAGCAAGCGGCCGGCTTATGATTTAAGGAAAATTATCGCAGCATATAATGCTATTCAAATAGTGGGCTGTGCATATATCGCTTACAAAGTAAGTAGAAATGAAATTTCTTCAGTAGTTCATAATTTTTAATTCATTTCAGTTATCTCGTAGCAAAATATGACGACAGACTACTACGCGCTACATGCTACGTCGTAGCCGTCGTAGTCATAGTTAACATAGCGTATTCTATCGTAGTATTCCCGTAGCCGTCGTAGTCGTAGTTAACGTAGCGTATTGTATCTTAGTATTCCATCTATGTTTGTGTGATCGGCGTAAACCATACTCATGATTTGCGAGTAAATAAACATATTTTCTTTCTTCTTACATATTTAAAAAATAATGAAATTCCATCAAGAGTTCTTATGACTTGATGAAATCTATTTAGGTCGCCACCTCAATAGGTATTCTAATATGCAACTAGCAACTTACAATAGTAGACTATAGGTTCACTGTCAAATAGCAAAAGTTCTAACTTACACACTTATTTCAGAGTCTAACCCTAGGATGGCTAAGTCATTACTCACTGATATGCCAAGGAGTAGACGATGGACCTGATAGCTTGGAATACGCCTGGACCGTGTGCTACGGATACTTCATCATGAAACTTGTTGATTTACTCGACACGGTACGTTACAATAACTTGTTTACTTATTTAAGTTACACATTCAGTGGTTGGGTGGTAGCAGAGAATAATCTATTTGTCACCATCAGTTATATTCTAGAACTAAATTTGAAGCACCAATAAGCTTCACGCCTAGTTCGCACTACGCTAGTATTTTAGTCGTGTAGCGAATAATTTATTTACTATATCAAAAATATTACGAGTCGTTTAGTAAAGTACTAACGCCCGAATACTGAAATTCTTACTGCCAGAATTATTCTATAGAGGGCCTTAAAATTAAGTGGCGTTTGAGTATTTGAATGTATGATCTATGTATAAGTCAAGTCGATTTTATTCTATTTTATAGGGCCAGTAGCACCTTCCAATATGAGAGGTACTACTCGCTTGGTACTAAATTACTCGCTACTTGACTAAAACACTAGCGTAGTGCATCAACAGATTG